GTGCTGCGGAGTAGTAAGTAACTAGGCGCTAGACGCCCCTAACTTTTTGCGACAAGCAACCCCTAAGAGTATATCCTAAATAGTCTACTTCTAATAACATTTCTCTAGCTAGGTCCTATTATATTAATACTAGTCCTAATATAAACACCTTTTTTAGCACATTAAATATACTTTATTCCTCCTCTCCCTATTAGAATAGGGTGTTCTTCCTAGTTAGTTAGTTTAAAGGTGCTGCTACTTTAGAAAACTTCGCGATAAAATTATAGTAGAAGTTAGCAAAACCTAGAAAACTCCTTACCTCTCTTATATTCCTAGGGGATTCCTATTCCTATACTACCCTAAGCTTTTTAGGGTTAGGTCTAAGTAATTTGCCTACCTTAACAATATAGCCTAGGTAGCGTACCTCCTTAATACTAAAAGTATATTTCTCTAAGTCTAGGTGTAGTCCTGCTTCTTTTAATAGTATAAGTACCTACTTTACTTTTTCTATATAGTTAAACTAGTCTCCTCCTAAATAAATTAAGATATTATTAAGGTAGGCTATTATATATAATCCTAGTAACTCTACAAGCGTAGTATTAATATATTATTAGAAAGTAGATAGCGCACTACTAAGACTAAATAGATATACTAACTATTTATATAACCTAAACTAGGTGCAGAAAGTAGTTAAGGACTTATAACCTTCTACTATTCTAACTTTATAAAAGGTAGCGCAAATATCTACTTTTATAAACTAATTTACGCTAGATAGTATATACAAAGTTTCCTTAATAAGTAGTAGTAGGTATTAGTCTAAGGTTATTATGCTATTAAGCATCTAGTAGTCTATATATAGACACTAACCACCTAACAGCTTCTTTACTAGTAATACTAGAGCTCTAGCTATAGAAGAGCTTGCTTAGATCTAGCCCTTATCTATTAATCTAGTAAGTTATATTCTTAGTTCTAGTAATTAATTACGCGACATAGGGTATAGGGGACCCTATAGGGGGTTAGGCTAGGTTCTATCTAGGAGAGTTATTAACTAAATATAGTAATCTATACTACCTTAATAAGGTAGCAAACTACTTACTAACTCTTTATTAAATAGGTCCTTAAACTCTTATAGTTCTAGTAGTAACTTTATCTTTCTAGTTTTATACTTAGGTTTATAGGGAACTGTGTTACTAGAAATATAAGAGGTGTGTATATTAATAGGACTTCCCTTATTAACACTTCCTAGATATTTTATTAGGCGTAAGTTATATATTGCCTATAATATATCTAGTATATTTATTACAAAAATTTATACCTATATATCTTCTTATTAGGGTTCTTAATTTAGTAACCCTACTATAACTAAACCTAAGATAATAGAGATATAGGTAGGATATAGACGTCTCCTGCTTTCTTATACTACTATATTTCCTGCCTTCCTAATTATTAATTCACCTTATAGAATATCTATAATAACGCCCTCTCTACAAAGCTATAGTCTGCCTAGTATTAGTTAATAGGAAAGGCTAGGTACTATATAAGCTAAAAGCTAAGACTACTAACTATCTAAATTATAGTCTAATACTACTAACTATAAAATTCTTGTACTCTTAGTAATTCCCTAGGTATATTACAAGGGTTATAGGGGAATATTAATAAAGTTCTTACTAATCTATCTTGCTAACTTTTCCTTAACTGCACTAAAACACTAGCACCCTAAATTAACTATCGCTTACACGTTCTCTACTCTACCTAGGAGGAGGGGAATAAAGAAGGGAGGATTATTTAACCTAGCCTTAATATCTAGGGGACACTTAATAGCCTCTACTATTAATAATTCCTCTATTATAGTATCCTTCTTATACCCCTAACTTAGCCTAAGGTTAGGGGTAGCTAGTTTCCTAAATTAGTGCCGCTTGCTAATACTGCAACTATCTTAACACTTACTAGTTATAGCAACAGGGCATTAGGGCATGCACGTATAAAATAACTACCCTATCTATACTAGGTGTAGACCCTCGCTAGTTTCTATGTATTAAATAGGTCCTATAGGATCTAGTTAGGACGTGATATTAGTAGTTTAGTAAGTGCACTTAATAAGGCTACCACTTCTACTATATTTATGTCGCTGTTCTAATCTAAGTTAGACTTCTACTAGGGTTCCTTAGACTTACTAGCCTAAAGGAAGCCTAGTTCTAGAGAGGCTATTTTAATATCTACTATAATTATCTTATATTCCTCTATAGCTACGTTGTAGTTTATCCTAGAGACTCCCCTATTAAGGGAAACTAAGCGCATATAACTATTAAGAGATTACTAAAGTTATAAAAGCTTCTATTTATTATTCTAGTATAAACCTCCTAACTATATAAGGAGCTATATAAAATTTACAAAGAACTCTATAAAAGGCTAATTTTAGCCCTAATATAAGTGTTCTAATATAACTTAGGCGCGCTCCTACCTATAATAGTTGCTATAATAGAACGCTAGGTAGTTAAGAAACCTGCTTACATCCTAACGCTTACGTGTACTATCCTTAAAGTATAGTGCTATAGCGCGCTAGACTATAGGTAATAACTAGGACTAAATATATATAAACCTTACCTCCTTATCCCTAATAAAGACCTTATCTGCACGCAGTTTAAACTCTATAGTTATTTACTAGGAGGAGAAGTTTACCTTAGTGCTATTATATAGCAAACTAACTAGGAAAGGTTTGCAGCGTAAGGTAGGAGAGGGCAGAGGTAGCATATTATTAAACCTAGCAGGCTTAGAGGAGGGTTAGGATAGAATCTAATTGCGTATTTCCTTATTCTATTAACGTAGTATAGCTATTATAGTAGAGTCTTAAGCCTATTATTCTATTAATCTATAGACCTATTGTATTAGCCTTTCTACTATATTAGGTTACACCTAGTTATTCTAAATATCTAGCGCGTCTATCTCTTATTACTATTATAGTATATTTAGAAGAAGATACTAAAATATTATAGACTAGCCTTAAGGGAAGAATATAATAAGCGTTAATAATAGTATTTAGTATCTTAAAAGGAGAGATAAGCCCTTCACGCCTTTTTATAGGTGTCTAGTGTGTTCGCTTAGTAGTAGTGTTAGACTTAGTCCGTCTTGTGTTAGACCTAGGCTTGGGCATAAGCCTAAGTCCTTTATAGTTTTAATTTTCCTTGCACAGTTATTTCCTGCAAGACGCTAGTAGCGCACAGTCCTCTTTAGAGTTATTTCCTAGCAGGAAACGACTTTCCTACAATATATAGAATTCTTTACTAAAGGTAGGACTTTTATAAGGAAATAAGTAGTAGGGGTTATAGGAAATAGGTTTTAGGTCTAGGTTTATAGGAAATAGGTTTTAGGTCTAGGTTTGCAGGAAATAGGTTTTAGGTAGTAGGGGTTGCAGGAAATAGGTTTTAGGTAGTAGGGGTTGCAGGAAATAGGTTTTAGGTCTAGGTTTGCAGAAAATAGGTTTTAGGTCTAGGTTTACAGGAAACAGGTTTTAGGCAGGGGTCGTAGGAAATAGGTTTTAGGTAGTAGGGGTTACAGGAAACAGGTTTTAGGTTTTGATTTTCCTTGCATAGTTATTTCCTGCAAGACGCTAGTAGCATACAGTCCTCTTTAGAGTTGTTTCCTAGTAGGAAATAACTTTCCTACAATATGTAGGCCTAATAAGGAAGGCACGCTAGCTCTAAACTAGTATCTAAAGGGTGCGCTAATTTAACCCTTTAAATATATAACACTCTAATTAGCTATACTACCTACTAACTACGCGCGCGTAACTATAACTAAAGATCTACCTACACCTAGGGGGTGTGTTATAGGAGGGATAATAACTAGATTATAGAGTATCTTAATCCTAATTAATCCTAATTAATCCTAGATAATACCTATGTATAACCTACTATCTAATTAACTACTAGCTTAGTACTAAGTGCCTAATAAAAGAAGGAGCTCTAGTAAGGAAGGTTTACTAATTATACACCTTCTAGTAAGGGTAGCTAAAGCTCTATATATATAAGTCTAATTATAGTAGAGATAATCTAATAATCTATCTCCTAAATTATTCCTAACCTTAGTAATCTAAATTTCTATAGATAGTTATACGTCTACTTAGCTACTACAAACCTTAAGGCTAGCCTACGCCTCTACTATTTCTTTAAATAACTACCTAACTTATTAAAGCGTTTAAATAACTACTTCTAATTTAGTATACTTATTTAAATATTTATAACCTTTATAGCTACCTATAAGGGTTAGTGTAGACTCCTAGCCTATATTACTACTAAAGATATCCTTGTCTTTAGTACTATATATTATAGCAATATTTATTACTAGTTTAATAGAGCTAAGATAGCCCTAAAATAGCGTATTAAGGGCTAATAGTATAGATAAGAGTAGGCTAGAAGGTTAATTTAGAGGAGGGCTATATATCTAAGAAAATAAGCTAGGTATAGCTATAATATATATAATTAATAGAGAATATCTTAAATATTAATTTACTTATATAGGCAAGACTATAATATATTATAGTAGATAGGATATACTAGGTTAAGTTACGTGCTATCTACTTATATAACCTAAATCTAAGTATTACTAAAACCTATCCTATTATTCCTTAGACGCTCTAGCAAGCTTTGCCCTATAGCTAGCGTGATTAGTTAAGGAGTTTTTAGCGCAACGCTAATCCCTTTAGAGTTCCTAGGAGTTTTTAGCGTTGCACTAGCAGGGGTAAAAGCTCGTTAGGGCGTTCTGATGAATGAGATAACCCCCTGCCCTGGAAGCCGAGGCTGGATTCGCAGACTCTGGAACGTGCATTGAAGCCGCAGTGGAAGTCTGGTACGTCGATACTGGCGTTTGAATCCAGGAAACAGCTTGTATAGCAAAAACTTCGGCATACGATGAAAAGTGTCGAATAGTTCAACCGGGATGGTTCTGCAGGTGGAGGAGAGTTTGAACAGCCTGCAGCAGATGTTGATGCTACCTCCTGGTCCAGCGATGGTGACGTAGACATCATGGCAAAAGGCAAAGAGCTACCGTACTGTATGGATTCCTCCGCTTTGCAATAAGTACTATACCGGTAGATCTGGGTTGGGTTAGTCGTTCGTTGGTTTGCTGATCTTTGCCGCACAGATAAGTTAAAAGTTCGCGGGGTCTTCGCGCGAGACTCCACACCTACTCTCGCCCGAAGTTACCGATGGACCACGAACTTGCCATCTTGACCTCAGCAGATCAGCGACCTCGAAAACGGAGAGCTATAACCGCTTGTGTCAGGTGCCGGACCTCCAAAGTCCGATGTGACGGAAGACAGCCATGCCAGCGTTGCGAAAGGAACAACACAGCATGCTTGTTCCACGACGCAGTAAAAGATCCAATCACCTTGCGCATTGAAAACCTCGAGCAAGAGGTGTCTATACTGCGGCAGCAATCAAGCCGATTTGCTTGCAATGGCTCGTCAGTTTCCTCCACAGTTCCCAGATCTGCTATGCATCCATTCTCTCCGTGGAAGATGCCAGGGCAAGATGACCTTTCGAATGCAGTACAGTCGGGTCTGGTATCGCAGGATCAGGCAATTTTCTGGTACAGGAGCTTTTTTGCAGCAAGTCAGTACCTGGTCCCTATCTTTTGCGAACAGCGCGACACATTCGACTCGGTATTCTCTAGGAGCTGCTTTCTCTTTGATACACTGACAAGTATTGGTTGTCGGGCCGAGGAGGGTTTTGACTCTCTTATACATCGCCAACTCCAGTCACGCGTTCGTGACCACTTGACAAGACTCATCGTCGCTTCTGGGACCCCAACCATTGAAGACGTGCAGGCGATGACTGTCATGGCTGCTTATTCTGAAAACGCTTTCGTTCTAATTGCACTCGCTCTGCGTTTCGCTCATCAGCTTCATCTACATCACGCCGTCGATCGTCTCATGGCTCTTGAAGTGGTTACAGGCTCTGAGCCAACATGTACAGAAACGCAAGAGTTATATCGGCGCTCTCGAATCTGGCACGGAATCTGCAATCTGGAGCTTTTGTACGTACGAGTGAATAGTACTAATCAATCAAGGACTAAAGACTTTGTTAGCTTCTCACTGGATGGTGGCAAACTCCCCAGCATGACACTCGACACATCTTCACGAAAGATCAGACGTCTTCTCACGCATCCGGAACGTACTTACGTTGATGTCCGCCTCCTCTCTCAGATTGAGCTAAACATCTTGCGAACCGATGCCTACAGCAAAATTGCACAGGCCGGAGACGATCTTCATATCAAATCCATTGTTCAAGATTCTACTACGGAGCTCTCTCTTTGGTTGCGAGAGTGGACGGATGTAGCGGCCAGCGAGCCTGATCCACAACCGTCCGCCATGGCTCGCCAGAACCTATTGATTCAGCAGGAATGGGCCCTAATGACACTCAACTTAAAGGCAGTTGCTGCCTCCGGCATCGAAAATATCGCCTTCATGACAGATTTTCAGCGCGACCATGTTTTGCGTGCAAAGGAGGCTGCGAAACGGCACCTGCACTACATGTTAAGGGGTGACGCTTCCCTGTCCTCTTCCGAAGCCGACCAAGCATCTACATATCTCAGCATGTTCAAATGGACTCTAGACTATGTTTGGGCCAAATGTGCAGTTTCAGTACTTCTTGCGCTGAAGCTTGCAATCTTGCTTCGCGATCCCGTAGCGACAGTTTTGTCGCTACTACACGACGCGCATCGTGTGCTTGAAGAGCTCAAAACCGTCACAGTTGGCCACATTGCATATTTCCAAATATTGCAGGCAAGCGTAGAAAAATGTGAAGCCGCTTTGAAAGACTATAATTCAGAGCACAATGCCTGTTCAGAAACTAGTATTCCGCGTATTGGCGAGAGCGGCAGTGCCGAAGATGCCTTTCAGGGCTACGTACCTCACGAATTCATCTTTGAGTGGGACTTTCCAGGCCTGAATTTGAAGCACATGCCACTTGGGTGGCAAGACTTGTTTGTCAACATTGACGGATTGTTTTGAGTCTCTGTACCATGGGAATCTCAATATTGGGATTACCAACTAGTTAATCCTTTGCTCTATATCCTACGGGACCTGGTCTTAGTACACGTATATAAAGTCCTCGTTTTTGACATCTGTGACATCATCAAACGCCTTGTCACCGACACCGCTTGCTTGTGCGCTTTCTGCACCTTCAGCGCCTACGTCTTTGGTATCGCTCATGCTGGTGTCCACCACAATAGCTGCTTTCCCCATGCTTTCACGAGTGGCGGCGTGTTTGCTATTCAAAAATTTGATCCAAAACACAGCCAGGATTACAAACACCATAATCGCGACGAAGAGTGCAAGATTTGCCCGCAAGCCGCGATGGTAGTATGGCCTCTCTGAAGGCTTGAAAAGATGAGGGCCTACTATGTTGCCTGCGCTTGCACCGACAAATAGGATGCTAGTCGTTACCTTTCGCTTCGTGTCGCCTCCAGTGTTTTGGCCAGACCATGAGTAGATTAGAGGCGATATGCCTGGATAAAACGACGTCATGTAATAGCCAAAGAGTAAAATGCCACGATTTTCTTTGCCTCGGCCTACAACCAAGAGTATGATGATACCGATGATTGGGGGAATGCAAAGAAGAATCAGGACGGGTGACTTCCTTTTGAGCCAGGTGGCTAGCCAGGCACCACCAATGGTTGCGATGATCTGTACCGCACCGAAGGGCATGTTGAATAGAATGGTCGTAAACTTGCCGAAACCAAAACCTTCGATGATCAAAGGTCCAAATGTTGTGATGCCGCCGCTGGGGATGCTGACCGCAGTCAACATGCAAAACCATAACCAGGTTTTGGGATCAATGAAGGCTTCCAGAACATGATCCCACTTCCATATCCGTGATGCAACCCCCATCTGGTTCATCCTCAGGCGCTCTACAGCAATCAACTTCTCATGGTCGTTAAGAAACTTTGCTTCCATGGGCGAGTCTGGCATGAATACCCAAACAAAGCCTGATACAACGGCTGTCAAAAGGCCGCAGAAGAGGAATATGATCTGATATGAATAGAGCCGATCAGATGATATGTGTCCGAGACCATATGTCAAGAGACTACCGAGAATGTTGACGATTCCGAGCATGGCGTACCATGCTGCGTTGCGATTGGTCTGCTCGCCGCGCTTGTACCACATTTGGACGACTGCGATGAAGGCCGGTGCTACTTTTATCAGTATGAATTTCAGGGTGACAAGAGGTTACGACGTACCAACTGCTGCCTCAAAGGCACCTAGAAGAAATCTAGTTGCCATCAATCCGGCAAAGTCTTTCGCGCCAGCCATTCCACACAGTATACAGCCCCAGGTAAAGACCATTACACCCATGAATTTCCCCATTGGTAACTTGACTAGCAAAACAGCCACAATGGGCTGCATGACAAGTTGCGCAATGTAGACAATACTTCCCAGCCATGAGTATTGCTGCGAGTTTGGGTCGAGATTTGTATCCTCGATGAGGCCGAAGACGGATGCGTAAGAAAGTGTAGTCTTGTCCAAGCTCTGGAGAAAGTATACCGACAACAGAATGGGGAGGATTACAAGATCGATTTTGCGCAAGACCTTTTTGTTCTCAGCGGGGGTAACAATCACTCGCTCGTTAAAAGCAAGGAGTTCAGCCGCTTTATCTTTGCCACGGATTGTCTGAACGGGCTTTCGAATCGATTCAGAGGTCTCGACATGTGTCTTATTAATCTCCAATGGAGGTGTTGACTTGAACATGATGAAAATGAAATATTAAATCTGGCGTAAACTGGGGCGACAAGCGGTCAGTAGGGTTTACACTAGTCTTATACTTGATTCCCCATGGGGAAGACCACAGGAACCATGTCTAGTGTAGGCCGAAGTTGCCGAGCAAAATTCCAAAAATTGTCTTGGTAACCTCGAGACAAGCCCAAAGTGTGCAGCCTATATATAAATGTACATATGTCCTTGAGCAACACATGGTACCTGCTTATGCAGTCTGAAAGTTCCAGCCGTTAGCTCACTTTGTCATGCCACAACTCGAGCAAGTTCCCCGTGGCTATGATGCCGAGCCCGCCACTTCAACATCAGACCCTCTTGTTCATTTGAAATCTCGGTCGAACAACTTTGATTTCACCTTTGAAGCCTTGAAACCAGGCCTTTTCCGCACAACTTTTACATCACCCAAGCACACCCTACCGCCCCACCGTGCGACACGAGTTCCTAAAACAACTCTGAGCAACACTCAAGTTTCGATACTCCAATCCGACATCTCCTCTCAGACCAAAGAATTCAAGGTAGCAGATGTGACTGCCAAGGTTGACTGGTCGAGCGGCCTGCCTTTGATATCTCTACAAGTGCCAGGGCAAAGTGTCCCGGCCCACTCAGATTTGCCAAACCGCTCATACGCAGCTGATGGTCCTGGTATAGCCCATTATACAAGATACAACCATGGGAGTCTTCATCTTGGACTCGGAGAAAAGTCAGCACCCATGGACCTGTCCAATAGACACTTCATCCTCTCAGCCACTGATTGCTTTGGCTATGATACTCACCGCACCGATCCCATGTACAAGCATATTCCTTTGCTCATCAATGCAACTCCTCAAGGATGTGTTGCCATCTTTTCTACTTCCCATGCACGAGGCTTCTACTCCGTGGGCTCCGAAATGGACGGCATGTGGGGCCGATTCAAAGTGTACCGTCAAGACTATGGAGGGCTAGAAGAGTATCTCATTGTTGGAAAATGCTTGGAGCAAGTGACTCGGACATATGCTGACCTGGTGGGCTACCCTATGCTTGTACCACGTTGGGCTTTTGGGTACCTTGCTGGAGGAATGAAATATTCCATGCTGGATGAACCGCGTGCTAGCGATGCTTTGATGGAGTTTGCAGCAAAGCTCAAAAAGCACGACATTCCTTGTAGCGGATTTCAAATGTCATCCGGATATACCGTGGCGGAAACGGAGCCGAAAACACGAAATGTCTTCACCTGGAATAAGCACCGCTTTCCCGATCCACAGGGATTCATTGACGCTTTTCATAAAAAGGGCATCCGTCTGATTGCCAATGTGAAGCCATATGTACTCTCAAATCATCCAGAGTATACCAAGTTGAAAGCTTCGGGTGCATTCTTTACTGATTCTTTAACCTTGGTATCTGCCGAAGCGCGTCTATGGAGTGCTGGAGGTGGTGAGAGCGGTGTTGGTGGACACATCGACTTCACCTCGGCGGCCGGTTACAAATGGTGGTATCAAGGAGTTCAAGAACTTAAGCGTCTCGGTATTGATTGCATATGGAACGACAACAACGAGTACACGATTCCTCATGATGGCTGGCAGTGCGCATTGACTGAGCCATCAGTCATTCAGGACAAAGATAGTAACCACGACAAAACGGTAGGATTCTGGGGACGTGCACTGAATACCGAGTTGATGGGCAAGAGCTCTCACGATGCTTCGCTCGAGGTTGAGCCTAATCAGCGGCCATTTATTCTGACAAGAAGTGCTACAGCAGGTACATTGCGTTATTGTGCAAGCACTTGGTCCGGCGACAATGTCACAAGCTGGGACGGAATGAGAGGTGCAAATGCACTTTCACTCACAGCCGGCATGTGTTTGATGCAATGCTATGGTCACGACATTGGGGGCTTTGAAGGACCTCAGCCATCACCCGAATTACTGGTACGGTGGTGTCAGCAGGGCATCTACTCTCCGCGCTTTGCCATTAATTGCTTCAAGACATCTCCAGAGAACAATAGCGTTGGCGACGTCATTGAACCGTGGATGTACAAAGAGACTACACCGTTGGTCCGCGACATCATCAAACGCCGCTACGAGATTATTCCCTATCTTTACTCACTCTCTTTAGAATCTCACCAGACAGCAACACCACCCCAGCGATGGACGGGCTGGGGCTTCGAGTCTGATACCGAGGTCTGGAGTAACAAGATCCTTCGTGATGGGGAGACTCAGTACTGGCTTGGTGATGCAATCCTAGTGGGCGGAGTGTATGAACCTGGTGTAGAAAAGGCCAAGGTATATCTACCTCGGGAATCAACAGATCCAGACTTGCATTTTCTAGACCTCAACAATACTCCCCAAACATACTATCAATCTGGACAATGGATTGAGATTTCAGCGAAGTGGACCAACAGTATACCGGTGCTCGCAAAAGTCGGCGGCGCAATACCGATAGGTCGACCAGAACAAGTACTGTCTGCAGGAGAGACGGCCAATCCTGCAAATCTTCCTCCAGATGACTATCGTGGTGTCGAGCTATTTCCACCACAGGGTTCTTCTCATGGTAAGGTCTTTTCCAACAAGTGGTACGAAGATGACGGCATCTCACCGCCTCCCGCACGTACATCTATCTTCCAGATTAGTTATCAAACTACCGAGGCTGAAGTGCTGGTCGATTTTAAAAAGATTCTACAACCTGGATTCGCGCCTGCATGGTCCCAGCTGGAAATCATATTGCCAGCTGGGGACGAGCGAAATGTCACATTCAATGGAACAAGGGCGCACAAGTCAGAGACTGATCTGAAGGGTAGGGTTCATTTCAAAACGGATCAGGTTCTCCAACAATCATACTGGTCCAGTCAAGGAGAGTAGTTTTCGAATTTGTACACTGGCCAGTAGCTGTCAAGGTCTTGATCTATTGAGTTTCTATATAACATTTACTTCAAGTATTGAAAATTCAGTAATAAGAGTTTGACAAGACCTAACACGGCCGGTTGTTATCAAAAGGGTTAGTAAACGTAATCTTTTGCCAAGTTTCATGATCCTGGATATTGTGAGAAATCGGAGAGCCAAAGCGATGTGCATCGTCGGCAATTGCATCATACTGGTCCAAGAGACACGAACCAATTTGCTCTGGTGTACACTTTTCCAGTATTCGCAAAACCTCTGTATGTTGTTCAGCAATGATGACGGCCTTGTCCCACCAATGTTGGTTGAATTGGAACAAGAGACCATTTCCATTCCCCGGGCGCAAAAGAGGACATGTAGGGCCACATGTACTCTCACTGCCGTTTGGACCACAGGTCACGCAGTACCGACCGTCATGATGAAAGAGATTCATGAAAACACATCGATTCTTGACATCTGCTGCGATTTGCTTGTGAATCTCCAAGAGCTTAACAATACGAGCATGCAGTCTATCTCGGGCAGGAGTATTGCGGAACTTGGTAGAATCACTCTTGTTGGCTATGTTTCTAACAATGCTGGGCTTGGCGGCTATCGTTTTGCCAGCTCTCGAACTCTTCACAGTGTGGCCAGCTGCTGCAGCGCCCAACGTGCGAGTCAATGGGTCAGGCTTGAGCATTGCTGCAGGTGGATTGATCTTTTTTTGATTTCTTTGCTGGGGTTTTCATGCTTGTGTTGGCTTGCTAAATTGGTCAGATTCGCTCGGAAAATATCCTATCAGTCAGACATATTGTGAAGCAACTATTATCCTTGTGCAAATGTGACAGACAATGATTACACAAAGATAAAACTTGTTGGCTTCACAATGAAATTTAATAGAACCGTGTTTTTGCGCTCTGTGATGTCTAGGAAGATTGCGAAGAGACTAAGAAGTGAAGTTACGAATAGACGAGTTCCATGCGCAGTGTCATCAAGAACTTAGGCGAGAAGAACAAGTAGAAATATCACTATTTGGTTAGTCATTATTTTTATCACAGTAAACTATGTTGGAGAGTTGATTTGCATAAAATATCCGCAACATTGTGCAATCACTATTCACAAAAACGTGTGATACCTCCTGGTGAACAATAAACCATTACAAGACCTGACGATACCAGTCACCGGTCGCCGTTTTTTAACCGCAAATCCTCTGCTACCTCTACGACATTTGAGGAATAGTCAGTCGCATCTGGGTTGCAGTATTACAACAGTTCCGAGTGTGTTCGGACAAGCGAAAATGAAAGCCGCACGGGAATAAAATAACGCCTCCAAGGATCTTTACGACCCTGTCCTCTGTCAAGAGATGCATCAACAATAGCCAATCCATGATCTTGATGAACCCGACAATGGCATTGATCATGTCTAGGTATCTGGCGAGCATGCAAACAGTATGTGTCTTTTTCTAAAATGCTAACCACGACATGTTGCCTCGTATAGAGTAATATATGTCTGACTTAATATTGGAACCAGGCGCCTGCAACCTTGCTTTGCTAAGTAACGTGCGTTTGTCTTGCTCCAAGCTGGCATAAAAGATTCTTGCAAAATTTCTGTGGCCGTGATACAAACCAATCAACATTTGGTCCAAGTCATTGACAAATTATGCCACGCATGATTTGCAGATGATATCAGATGATTGTGCGGGGTGTTGTATGTCTACTAGGAGAATTGCAACTGGTTTGTCAAAATCATATAATAGGTAATCAATAAGCACATAGTCTCGAGAATCGAAACCAATTTGAAGAAATTCCAAGGTAGACAAAGATTTATACAACCCATGCCAGATGGTATTGTAGAGTATTCATTGTGTACCTGTGCCTGTTTCACCAATTTAGCGGGGAATTTTGTCAAGTACCGAAACGAGTACCGGTACCGTTCGTCGAATTGGGCCGATTGAGCGGAGTTGCGCGCGTCACATCTTCACAAGCGTTTATTTGCATCGCGCCCGGCACGGGCTCCTTCACAGCAAAGTGTTAGTTCATTAATGTGAAAGAGGATATGACAGGTCGATCTCAGCGTGGTAAGCTGACAACAAATAGCGGTTTCTCAGCAGTGTGAACATATTGGGCCCCGGCCGGAGAATTACAATAGTTGGATCCTCCGATGGCCTGGACACATGTACCTAGGTATGACGAATCGTACTTTTTAATCTATTTGCATCCTTGTTAGCTGCAATCTATCAAGGCAAAATTGGAAGCGGTTTTTACGCACGTATGCCGAAGTGGAAAAAAATCTGCTTGCGTTCCACAAATCATGTCACGAACATGCCAAGGTCTGTCGAGCATCGACTTGCGACGACAATTAGGCTGCGCCCAGTACGTACCGGTATGGTAATTACGCATGATATCAGCTCTCGCCGATGTGTACAATTTTGTCCCATGAATATAGACAAAACAAACGAATTTTGAGGAAAATGGCAGTGATCAAGGTGAAGCATCTACCTGTACGCCCAGATTCCCGGTATCACATATATTAGATTAGTGCCTGCTGCATGTTCCCATGGTGCCGGTACTGGTATCTCGCACGATCCGGCAAGCGAGGAAGACCCAGGTACCGGTAAGCGAGGAGTCTACCTGGCATGCAGCAACGGAAGGCTCAGCATGGATCCAAGCCGTAACCACATCTGTATACCAACTCCAGTGTCGGATTCAGAGCTCCGGCTCTGTCGAAAGACGGTGGCGTTGATGCTCAACTTCTCATGCAAACTTTGGGCTAGTCACGTTCCGCAAGTGGCTAGAGACCCATGTAGAGTATGGCTTGTACTGATTAATGGGCAACAGACTCGGTCCGCAGTCTCGTCAACGATATCGGAGATTTTGCAGACTTGAGAGCGCATGGTCCTACCACTGTGGAGAACAGATGAATGTTAAAAAGACTGACGGTGTGATATAAAATCTCCGCGCCTTGCATCGAGTGCCCCGTAGTCGTCGAAATATCCATGGCTTTCTCTCGTACTTCATTATGAAGCTCGGCAACATTCTGCTGTCAGGGCTGGTTGGCTCGACCGGAGCGGTCAAATTCATGGAGGTTGATTCTCTGGCTGCAGAGGGCATGTTCAAATTGGGCATGCACATCGCTGAGAATGGCTATCCGAGCCCAAAGACTTGCACGCTGAAGAATGCTGCCATTAGAAGAGAGTGGTGAGTTTTTGTTATTTCAAGTCACAAAGCCTCTCGACTAATCAAGGCCAGGTCAACATTGTCAAGAACCGAAAAGCTAGACTACCTCAACGCTGTCAATTGTTTAGCAAGGAAACCGGCAAAAACCCCATCAGCCATTGCTGCGGGAGCAAAGAGTCGTTATGACGACCTGGTGGTTACCCACATCCAGCAGAGTCGTGCTATTCACGGCACTGGCAACTTCTTGTCTTGGCATCGTTACTACACGTGGGCCTTTGAACAAATGCTTCGCAATGAGTGTGGCTACCAGGGCCACCAGCCATATTACAATTGGGCTTGGTGGGCAAATGACCCAAAGAGCTCGCCCCTGTTTGACGGAAGTGCGACCAGCATGTCGGGCGATGGAGAGTACATTCCGGGGAGAAACTACAGCTGCATTCCCACGGAAGAAACCTGCCATATAAAGCTCTATCCCTCACATGGAGGTGGATGCGTTACTTCTGGTCCATTCAAAAACTTTACAGTCAATCTGGGTCCCCTTTTGTCCCTGTTGAAGATACCTGACGGACTGCCCCCTAATCCACAAGCCGACGGTCTCGGCTATAACCCCCGCTGTCTACGTCGCGACATTAGCACACAGGCCTCCAACGAGACAAGCGACAAGGCAGTTGCGGCTTTGATCAAAAACAACCCTAACATTGCCGACTTTCAAAGAGTATATCAGGGCGAATTTGCCTTAGGACGCATGGGTGTTCATACCGGCGGCCACTACACTATTGGAGGAGACGCTGGATCTGACTTTTTCAACTCGCCCGCAGATCCTGCTTTTTGGCCCCATCATGGCATGATCGATCGCGTCTGGTGGATTTGGCAAAATCTTGATCTCAAAAACAGGCAAACTGCCGTTGCTGGAAAAAGGGGGTTCGGAGATACAGGCGAGAATACGCTGATAAACGACACCATCACGCTTGGCGACTATATCGGAGCACCAAATATCACGATAGGAGATGCAATGAGTACAATGGCAGGACCATTTTGTTACATTTACCAATGATGTAATAAAAAAACCAAGGCTTTCTGTACCTTTAGTCCTCTTTGATACTTGTAGACGCATACATTTAACATTTGGCTGTAATGTAACATGGCCCCGTTTCTTACGAGGTTTCTCGAAAAACAAATCATGCCGCAATGGCAGCCTCTGTAGCCTTCAGCGCGCCGACTACTGCAAAGCAAATCATGGGCGTAATCGCATAACTAATGGTCAAAAACTTTGCAATGGTCATTTTCATCGACTCTGGCGCTCCCGTCACATCGGTGAGGGCGACGAGAATCATCGCGGGAGGCCCAGTTGGCATGAGCATCATGGAAAACCACAGCATGGGATCGGCGTCCAAAAGCTTGGTCTTGGACGCCATGGCCCAAATGAGCGGTATGCTAATCCTGTTGCTCTGTTAAGAGGGGTTTTGTACAAGATGTGGACAACTTACAATGGCCATAAGATGAAGCGAAGAAATGTAACAATTGCTAGGCTGCCCTTGGCAACTTCTCCACTGTCCTCTCCACGCTTCATCTTGAGCATGCTCTGACTGAGCTTTACTCCAACCACGATGATTTGCATCGATGCAAACAAATCTCCAATATTTTTAATCGACGTGGTGAGCCAAGCATTAAAGTAGCCGCCTTCATTGCTGGGGCTGAAAAAAAGCTTATGGAGCGCAGGCGTAAGCCCAATAATGGCACCCACGATGGCACCCATTAGAGGAGCATTGGCAAACTGCCAGGCGATATCAAGAGTCTCTTGTATCCAGGGCGATAGACCATTGTACCAGTCTAAAGTCTTTAGGTAGCCCGTCTTTTCCAGTTTGTTTGTTGGGCGAGTTATCCGCCGTGGCAAAAGTGAAGTCTGCTCATTGATGATGCCTTCGGGCCCTCGCTCAATGTCACCATTCTCATCATTCTGCTCGGTTTCTTCAACCCCATTCTCTTCTAGTCCATCTTCGTCCTCTGATGCGTCTTCGTCTCCTGGCTTCAATAGTCTCGGGCCCAATGCAAAGGTTAACGAGTTGCTAACCATGGCGTTTATCAAAAAGTAGGATTCAGCACGATCCAACGCAGCACTCCCTAATTCTCCACCAATAAGTATGGCATCTAAGATTCGAGTTTGTTTGAGTGATTGTATTAAAAGAATTGGAAGGCTCGTCGTGTTATTGAAAGCAATGGCTGGTGTAACCCATGCCGGGAGTTTGAAGATGCGGGTAAGGGTTCGACCCAGGAGGACGGAAAGGAGGGTGTAGGCAATCGACCATACTAAATAAGGTTTATGATCTTAGCATTTGTCTCATTTTCAACTCCGTCGAGATCGCATTCCCTTCATTGCCCATCTCATAATGTGCCTGACCCAGAACGTCATCGTCAAGGCAGAATGAAAACGCAAGCTCCCAGGTCAACTGTGGCCATCAGGAATAAGAAAGAGGAAAAAACATACTCAAAATTGGTACATATCGAAGCCCAGTATCCTGTTGTAAATTTGACCCGATTTTATAGATCAAAAGTGCAGGTAGAAACATGCGTACGCAAAGTTTCGAGACCTCTTTTGCTGCTTTCACGGACAGCAGATTGCATTGCGCAGCGAGAACACCAAAAGCGATGGTTAAGAGGACCGAAAAAGCAGCCTGTACAGCGCCGACAAGAGGAACAATAAGCTCAGAGGCCTCTACAGCCATTGTAAATGTTGCCGTGATACCGGTGATTTGGTCGCAAATCTTTTATAAGCGTGTCTGTGTGATTCAAGGCGGACAATCGGCATACTAGCGAAGAATAGATACATGGTATTGCTCACCTTTATATGGGGAAGATATCGTACGGAACTGCACGCGACAGCAGACGCGTTCCTGGGCCGTTTGATGACGTCGGTGCGGATGCCAGCGCCAATGTCACGCCGCGCCGCCATCAGCGGGCTGAGTCTGATTCAATCAGCTATTTTCTGGCATAAAATCCTGGGCGCCGAGACAAAGAATCAAGGAAAGGGCGCCAAGGGTGTCGATTCTCGTTACAGCTGATGAAGAGAATGTAGCTGGGGCGTACTGATACCTATTGATACGGTGAAAAGATGGCCTGTGGAGGTCAAGAGGGGCTTGGAGGGCCCACTTGGGCAATCCCACTTTAGTACGGTAGACAACACGTGATTGAACGACTTGTCCAAACCTTGGAAAAGCGTGCATTGCTATCGAGTCTGGGAAACTGTTTTCGTCTCTCACAAGTAGTCTTCTCGAGCTGTCATCCATCTTCCACCAGAACTGCAGGTGGAAGATCCATAGATTGCAAGTCATCCATGAGACTCTGTATCAACGGCGCCACATCATTCATATAAGCCTCCTCTTCCATGACGGTCTTCGCTGACTGCGCAGTAAAGTTGAATGTTTGGAGATGATGATTGTAACTCCAAGTCCACCAAGTTTTTTCGAGCTTCGGGGCATCTTGTGCGTCATATCTTTGGAAGTGGTCTTCTTTCAAGATTGCCCCCACCAGTGCACAACACTGTTTTCGATGCTTGTGGACGACGTTGTCGTCCCGGAGGGTAATGATGATGGACCTGATGTTTTCCACTCGGCGCATAAAGTCCACCATGACTTTGGTGTGAGTTTTGGCGTTCCAACCATCGAAATGGATAACGGTCAGTCGCTCCAGTCTCAAGGAGTCATTTGCGAAGAAGTTGCTGGGGCTTTGTCGTATCAATGCCTCGAATGGCTCAAAGGGCACAATTAATTTGCGGAGATCTTGTAGCCGTGCAGGTGGGCAACGACAAATGTGCTCATTGACATTGGACCCAGGAAAAAAGGTCGTCCTTTCATAAGCAAGCCTGGAACAGTCGTTGCGAAAGGAGTGACAGACGAGGAGTAGGTTGAGGTTGGGCGCTGAGTGATAGGCCGTGTCTGGAACGAATCCTTTGTATACGTCGGCCGTTGTGCCTTTCCAAACCAAACCAGCATGGCGTGGTTGCTCCAGAACGTATGCTGCGATTTGCAGGCGGAGCTCCACGGGAAGATCCAAGAAGGTAACCATAGTTGCGAGTTGTGACATGATGGACATGCAGCTGTAAGGGAGTGAAGCTTTGGGAAACTAATTAGAATGTTGATGCTAGTTACCTACGATAGGTACTCACCTACCGGTACTTACCTAATGCTCAACTCAGTGTTTGGTTGGTACAAGCAATTGTTTATACTTGGCTAGCATGTGGAGATCCAGTCTACATAATGTATACACCATTTCACTGGTTTTTGTTCATCTCTTCGAGACGGCTAGACTCATTTCCCACATGACAAGAAATATCCCAGACCTGTCCGCTACCTCCATCCGCTGGCCATGACTGATCATGCGGAAGCTGGTGGCGGGCGGCCTGATGGTCAAAGCGTCCGACAGTTTCATCTGATAAGATTCTGCTTCATCCGCCCATCTCCGATCTTTCACCACCTCGTATTCAATCAATGCACATTCATCGAATTTATCCCATCGCTTGCGCATTCGCAAATGTAGCGACTGCTTTGCGCTCGGGAAGATTTTGTCCAGTTGCTTGTGATACCACCCTCAACTATGCAACATTCAAAGATACCGACTCGTGGCTGTCCAAAAAGGTGCAGTCGTGTACAAGTAACCTGCGAATCACTTCACTGTATCTTTGCTACGACGAATACTGTCAGGATGATGCGTTCAAAGCAGAGTCCATTGACGAGCAAAGTCGGTGGTGCAACGAGCACACAAATGTGACCTTACCCGACTATCACTCGGTCGTCAATCGTTGGAAATCAAGTCACCCACGGGACGTGACAAGATTAAGTGCGGAAGATGCATTCAAGTGGCCAGTACCGGTACTGGGGGAGGTGGTGGTGCCGGATGCAAGCTTCTTTGAGAGGGCATTCACTACCATTGTGCGTTGATTGCCCCGCCTTAGTATCATGCTAATTCAACTGTGTAGGAGGCTGCATTCCAGGCCTACGACCTTCACCTCGTCTATGGCTGGTACATGTACTACTTTTGGGCTGCAGTCGTCACTGTGGGTGTTGGTACACGCCTAATGTCCCTCTTTTACAACCTCGGACACAAAGACCACAACAATCAACCGGATGGGAGTTACGGAACCACCACCAACGGTCTGACATTTCTTCAAACCTGGCTTAAACAACACATTACAACTCCAGCCACTTTTGGTAACCGCTGCGCACGGCCATATGGCTGGTGCACCATCCCTCCACGCATTCAGTCACTCACCGTCTTTGCCTTTGTCGCCTTCAACATCATCCTATGCTGCTGTTCCTATCGCTTGACGGACGGCAACCTTTACTGGCCGAAAAAGTCTGCGCAACTGCTGCGTTTTGTCTCGGACCGCACGGGCATCGTTGCGCTTGCAAATCTCCCATTGGTCTGGCTCTTTGGTATGCGCAATGATTTTTTGATGTGGTTGACAGGTTGGGGCTTTGGCACGTACAATGCGTTTCACAAATGGGCTGCAAGAATTGCAACTCTTCAAGCCGTGATCCATAGCGTTGGATACACGGTAATGATCATCCAGAGTCAGTAAGAGACGTCAACCATGTACCATCGGCAGTTTCCTAACCTCACATCAGGCGGGGGTTGGTCGCATTTCCTCGGCTACTGGTCCAAACATTACTTTTGGAATGGCGAGGTGGTGAGTGAATTGATTGCTTGTCAGCCATGTACAGCGCTGACATTTATAGGCTACTGTGGCCATGTGTGCCCTCGTCGCCTTGTCCTTTTACGGCATCCGTAGAGCGCACTACGAGGTATTTCTCATTACCCACATTATCATCTCCATCGCCGCCCTGTGGTCCATGTACTACCACGTGGAAATATTTACCGCAGGCGAATGGAACATATTCATCTGGCCATGTGTCATCATTTGGATCGCTGATCGCGCGATTCGACTTGGTCGAATTCTCTTATTCAATCGCAACCCATTCAACACAATGGCCACAGTGAGCTACGAAGCGAGCAGCAACCTGGTTAGGATGGAGGTGAAAGCTGACACTGCATTAATATTGCCTAATCCTGGAACCTACTACTTTGTACACGTCCTGAACGATGTGCGCTATGCGCATCAGAGTCATCCGTTTACTCTTGCCTACAACTCGGCCAATGTTTCTGCAACACCGTTGTCGCCGATTTCATCGAGACCTACGCCACACCGTACTTGGTCGGCTGAATGGAACGAGTCCGACGCCTTGCTTGCAACGTGCAAGGCAAAAGCCGCATCGAAGCTCGTGTTTCTCATCAGGCCATACGACGGATTCACCTTGCGTCTCAAGTCAACATGCCTCTTGCATCCCAAGAAGCTGAAAGTACTCGTCGAGGGACCCTATGGGCAAACCGCGCCCTTGCACAATTTTCACAGTGTCCTCTTCGTGGTGGGCGGCACTGGCATAGCGGTGGCCCTCTCCCATCTCGCACACTTGCTCTCTTGCAAGTCGCATGTTCAGACGGTCAAAGTAGTGTGGGCAGTCCGCGAACATGCCTTTTTTGCCTCTGTACTGCAGGATCTCAAGAGTCTGTTGGGCGATGAACGAGTCGAAATGGACGTGCACATCACTCGCGACGACCAGGCCAAGGACGTTGTTGTTGGAGAAGTCTTCAAATGTATAAAGAGAAAGACGAATCGGCCAGACGTGCACAATGTTGTCAAAGAATCGGCGCAGGATGCGGGAAGAGCAAGCCTAGCAGTGGTTGCGTGTGGGCCGGCGCTCATGGCTGATCAGGCGAGAAGGGCCAGTGTGGAGATGTTAAGTCAAGGTCATGTTGGCATCGAGTACTTTGAAGAGAGTTTCAAATGGTAGACTGGATTCCCATGAGCGTTTTCAAGTGTTACTAGATGGTGTGCGCTTCACTACTCTTGAGATGAAGATACCATTGCGCAACCTCCCCGACACTCGTATTCAATCCACGAATCTTCTCGCCTTGCAACAATAGACGTTCAGTCAATCTAGAGTCGGCCCGGAATGGCATATTGAGGGGAGTCTTTGACCTGCCAACTTTGAAAGTTCCGCGGTCGATTTCCTGGCCGAATTCTCGTTCAATCATGTCGGCGGCAGCATACCAAACCTCCGCACCCGTTTGGCCTGGCTGTTCAGTCGCAGCAGCAATGAACCATTTTGGCAAATCTTTGCTCCCTGATTTTTCCTCATCCAGAGCCTCGATATGGATTCGTGCGCAATCCTCGAGATGAACAAAGCCAAAGGCGTATCGTGGCTTCACATTGTCGAATAGGAGCGCCTTTGACTGGCGATCTAGTTGCGCGAGCGCCTGCGTTGCTGAAGTAGTGAGCTCTGATGGACCAATCACGGTACCTGGAATGACTTGGGCAATTGAAAATGGAAGCGTGTTGCTCCGACGAAGATGATCAAGGTAGCTCATGCATTGAGCTTTGGCGGAGCAATACGCATTGTGTACCGACGTCAGCGGTGGCCTAAAGGCAAGAGATGCTGCATTGACGTTTACATTTTCTAGAACCGAGTCAGTTGTGCTCACAGGCCGGCTTAGAAATGGCCAGGTACCGTCCAATACTTGTTCCATCCCAGCCCCCAGCGTATCACCGTCCTCGGAGTTGACGAGACCGGCGCCAGCTTGGGTGAAGACGATGCGCCGTACAGTGCCAGATTTTGTAGCAGCTTCAATCATACCCTTGGTGGAGTTGATGAATGGATGATAAATGTCATGTTCAGGATGCAAAGTCTGTGCCTGTTAGTCGTAGTTTGTATGGCAAAGAAGAAGCTTTTTCGTACTGGCACTGGCCATGCCCCTGCAATGTGAACAATGTAATGTGCGCCTGCCACAGCCTCGTCATAGGCACCTGGTGCTGCATTATCAGACACGATTGCATACTCGATGCACTCGGAATACCGCTGCGCCGAAGGACCAGAGCGTATAGCCTGAATGGCGCTTTCGCGACGGACAATGCAGCGCACTCGATATCCCGTCTTGAGGGCGTATACAAGGCATGCATAGCCTATGGTACCATTGGCTCCAGTGATCTGGTTGATTGAGTATGTAATTTCATCGCAAGGAATAGGGAGGATCTTACCGCAACTAGTCCTCTACCTATGGTATCTTTGGCCGGCATCGATCTGATGTGATTGATGCTTGTTGTGAGAAGTTATTGGTGATTTACAATAGAGCAAGGCAGTGGGGCCTGTGATATCAAATCCCCGCTTTACCAAGTATTCTCTAGTGTACCGGTAGATACAATACCTCGTGTGGCTCTAGAAGGTTACCCTTGCTACCGTGCCCCCACATCGCCATCTCTGAGCAAATGTTGTCAATGATTATATCAACGCGTCGAATATGATGAATTAGGAATGCGTCTTGCAAGACGAATTATGCAGAATATAAGGGTAAAGCTTGGTACCTTCTTTCGCATGGAAGCTCATGCTTCAAGACAATGATTGCAACGAGACAATCCACACCGCGCATGTCTCAGCTCATCAAGCAACATGGCATCAGGCAAGACAATCGCACCGTCTTTTGACTCTGAAAACCCTGCCTCTTGCGTGAGATTGAACAAAGCCGTATGATGTTCTCCAACCTACAAATACACAATATGAACCCAGAACCGCCCGTTGCGGACCAGATCATCGAAAGTCAGTGCAATCCCAAGGACACCACGGTCCAGAATCATCCACCATCCACCACCCACAACACCTCTTCCCCTCCAACCAACCCACCCATGCTCCACGTCCTCATCCCCGGAACCCACCACCGGCCCAACGCCATCACCAGCGCGGCGCCCACGCTCTCGCCGTCCCAAGCCCTCGTCCCCTTGCTCATCTTCATCCTAGCACTTGCCATACTCTGCCTTGATGCCTTTCCCACCGACCATGATGAAGAAGACGGAGAATGAGTTCTGAGAGAGAGGGCGAGAGAGATGGAGAGAGAGATCATGTGGGTATGAATGGGTAGCGCACGTAGGATAGATGGAAGACGTGGTAGGCAGAAGACGTATGCATGTACTCATGCGGTCGGGTAGTTTGAGCATCATGTGACTTGCCACTGCTACATCCTGTTTTGATGGCACAAGATGAGTAACGTGATGCTCAAACTAGCCAAGCGACAACGAGTTACAGTTGACCCCCCACACAAAGCACTAGGCTCGACATGTGGTCGAGTGCATCCTAGTATTGTTCTTGGGCCGATTGCGTCTGTGGGGAAATAACGGTGCACGGTGCACGCATGGGGCATGGTGCGTGGGTGCGTGCGCAAGGAGGCAAAGGACCGCGGCCGGCGGGTGGCGGATGGGATCGGGTGAGGGATGTGTCGGGGGTAGAATAATGCCGAGATCTTGGGTTTGGGGGTCGGGTAGGGGAAGTGGGAGTGGAAGTGGAAGTGAAAGTGGAAGTGGAAGCGGGAGAGTTGGGATGAAATGAGATGGGTAGGAGAGGAGAGGAGTGAGGGTGTGTGTATGATGAGTCGGAATATTCAAGTTGATTCTCTGGTCATCTTCCTCACTACCAAACTAGACATGTTGTATCTGACCATTTTCAACATAATCCTGAACCAACATCCTGCTCCCAATTAGCGTCTGCGCTTTCCAAATCTCTCGCCTGGTCGTGGCTTCAAGCATGGGAAATAGTCCTCTTGAGCTCATGTCAGCTCAGGTCCATCCCAACCCGCCTGGTTTGCCTTGCTTGGACAAATTGGCAGGATCCCTCCTTGTGCATCGCTGCTTGCAAGCAGTGCAACACGACAACCGCGACTCGGCGTTTCCACTCCAATCGTCGGGGGTAACACGAGTGTTGCTCTCGGCCATCTGAAAAGCCGGGCTCTTCTCCCTACCATCCCCTCGTTTCGACCCTGGAAAGCAGCCCTAGCTTCAGCACGATCCATCCGTAGTTTTACTTTTCCATCTCGCGACAGGCATGGCACATTTGCCAATCACTGAACCTCGTAAATCTGCATGGCACGCTCCAAATCCCTGATGCTCTCCCGCGCCCCATATGCCTCCTCCAACCGCGCATTCCTCGACTTCTCACTGGCGCCGCTGGCCTCGAGGCCGGCAAGCGCACGCTCCATGTCCTCGAGGCTGTTGCGGGCGCCATAGGCATCCATGAGCGCGAGATTCTTCTGCTCCTGCGTCATCTGGGCTGGGGCGTGGACGGCGCGATTGGCCTCGTCGAGGGCGGTCGTGACGCCGAAGCCAATGTTGGCCGTGGCGGCAGGGAGGGTGACGGTCCTGCGGGTTGCCGGGGGAGCGGGCGAGACAAGGCTCTTGGGCAGGTAGAGCATGCCAAAGGCGATGGCGGCGCAGGTGGGGAGGTACCATTTTGCGATGCGGCCTAGTTTGGGGACGGTATTGGCGGCGTGGGTGAATTGGGCGGTTGCAGCATCTTCGATGGAGAGGAGGTTGCGGGTGCGGGCTGAGGAGGTGAAGAGGCGTTGGCGGATGAGGGGGGCGTTGCGGAGGAGAAAGGACATGGTTGTGTGGTGGTTGGTTGGTTGGTTGATTGATTGATGTGATGGTGGTTGATTGATGTGATGGTGGTTGGTTGGTGTGATGGTGGTTGATTGATGTGATGGTGGTTGATTGGTGTGATGGTGGTTGATTGATGTGATGGTGGTTGGTTGGTGTGATGGTGGTTGGTTGGTGTGATGGTGGTTGATTGATGTGATGGTGGGTGAATGTTTGATTGATAGTTTCCAAGATGGTTCAAACCTTGATATGCGTAGTAGCTGAATCCCAAGATCAACTGATCCTCTGACCTGTGTGATAAAAGACAAGACAATCTTTCTTTCTTTCTTTCTTTCTTTCTCTCTCTCTCTCCCTCTCCTCTCCAGGCGGAACCGATGCCAGTAATATACCCTTACGCAACCCCCTGCACAGCCTCACGCGTTCGTGCGGGGAAATCAGCCAGGCCCCATCCATGTGATAGCCCGGACGGCTGGGCTGGGCTGGGCTGGGTACCTACATAGTATGTGAGCCCATGCCATACCTAACCTGCCCGCGATGGTCTATTGTCAAACACAACATCCCATCTGGTCTCTCCACCGCCCGCGGGCCGCACCACCAGCTCTGCAACTCTGCCCATCCATCCCGCTCCCCCCCCGTGTCAGGCCACGAAGAGCCGGGGGCGGCCAATCCCCCCCCCCCCAATCATGTCCACCCAAGCCAGTGCCTGCATCTCGTTTGCAAGCCCGTTGGCGCCAAAACGGACCGCTGACGTGGCCTTGTTTTGCCTTGGCTGGTCTTGCGGGTTTCAAAGTCTTGCTCTGCCTTTCACGCGTGTTTGTCGTCGGGGGGTGGAAAGAGGTTGGGCCGGTGAGGAAGGAGGGCTCGGCCGCGGGCGTGACCACACGGCCGCTAACTACATCTGTCCACCGCCGTTATTGCCGCCGTGTGGGCGCACTAGTACCGTTTGGGGTTGGAGGGGGAAAGACAAGCCAGAGCGAACAATGCATGTCTGCTCATCGTGGCCTGAGCCCGAGTGTTGATGTCATTTCCGTGTCTCTCTCTCCACTTTTAGTCACCCACCACTCACAGGTAATCATCACCCGACAACTTCATGCTTTGGGGGCTTTGTGTTTTGTGTGAGGCGATCGTCATCCCCCTAGACCATAGCGGCTGTTCTCCAGCTTGTCCTGACATGGAAGTCAAAGGTCGGGATTGGGGGTATATAGGAGGATTGTGTGAGCAGAGCGAGTGAGTTGTTTGGGTGAGTGGGTGGATGTAGCAAACAAGGTGTCCAGGGGTGAGATGAACTGTGTACCAAAGAAGAAGTAGAGCAAGTCGTTCATAGCACACACACACACACACACACACACACACACACACACAGGCGATGATCAAAAGTTGCAGTCTCATATTCCCTAGAATCCAAACCACCAAACATACCCATCCCCTCAAGCCTACGCACCCCCCGCCACCAAAAAACTCGCCAAACTCCCCGCCGCCAACCCCGCCGTCAAACACAAGGACATGAACCCCCCGGCAGCCTCCAACTCGTGCGCATCCACAAACTCGCCAAACCCCATCATACAGCTACTCCCCAGGTACCCGCTCGTCACCCCGAAGCCGCCCTGGACGACCACCAAGTAAAAGAGGTCGCTATGCACCGCAGCACCACGACCGCCAATGTTGCAGAGCATGTACAGCGGGATGAAGACGACGCGGAGCAGGGAAAGCAGCAAGACGAGACGGGGCCGGTGGGCCAGGCGGAGAAAGGGGAGGGCGGGGAGCGTGCGGCCGACTAGGTCGCCAAGGTTCCAGAAGAAGAAGGCGAGAGGGATGAAGGCGGGGGGGTGGAGGATGCGCGGCGTCGTCGGGGTGAGGGGGGTTGTGGAGAGGATTTGGACGGTGAAGACGGGGAAGAACATGGTTAGGAAGAAGGTGGTGAAGACGCCGAGGGCAAGGTAGCGGAGTTTGGAAAAAAGGTAGAGGAGAGGTATGGACTTGCGTTCCGAAGGAGCCGCGGGCGAGGCATGGCTGAGCGTTTCGTAGTCGGTAGATGGGGTACGTAGCATGCGGGCTTTGCTACTGGGGCGGGAGAGTAGGTAGAAAAAGGCGAGCAGTGTGGCAGCAGAGACAGCCGTGGCAGTGAGAAAGTAGACAAAAGCCGATGTACTTGATTCTTGCGGGAGACTGGCGTTGCCATGTTGTTGTTTTGGTGGGACGCAGAGTACGGTGATGATTTGGGTCATGGCTGGTAAGACGCCTGCAATCCCTTGTCCCGTCATGATGGCCTGCGTGTATTCCTCCCTGCCAAAGCCCGAGACGTATGCAAAAACGCCGTTTTGACAGAGACCAGTTGCCAGACTGGCGACGAGGACGAGGATCATGAGAAAGGCAAAATAGAGGCCAGCGGAAACATCTAGGAACAGCTTGGTGGACATGGCCAGGAGGGTGAAGGCCGAGGCATACAGCGCCAGGGCGGCAGTGATGCGCTTGGGATAGTTTGCACGAGCTTGGAGTTTGGTCAAGACCAGCATGGATCCCAAGTTGCCCACGGTCGATACGGAGAGAATGGCGGATTGGAAGTTGCGCAACAGGTTGTCATTGGACGCAAAACGGTGTTGGAAATAGGGTGCTGCTGCTAGAAACATGTTCCTGCGACCAGATGTTAGTGCGCAGTCAACCCTGTGTTTGCATGGAAGAGGATCGTTACCATGCCCATAACATGGCAACACCTAGCAGCACAAAGACGGAATAGTCTGTCCATGAAAAGACTTGTTCCTCTGTGCTGATGTGTTCGCCGTTTGTTCGCTCCGAACCTCCTTCCAAGGGCTCATACGATACTGCCTCATCCTGGCGCTCGAATATGCGCCGTATCCGCTCCATTGTAGACTGTCGAGAAGGGTAGTATAATGTATGGAGCCTCGGGAGTGCTGCGGAGTTTGCGGAGTTGCGGAGGTGAGCGGACGCGTTTGGCTGAACAACACAGCCGACGTCTTCAGGGACAAAGTGGAGAGTTGGGATAGGCGTTGTATGAACATGTAGCCGCCATTTCGCCAAAAGAAAAAAGGAAAAGACCAAGAAGCTAAGAAGAACGCATGATCATGGTGTTGCAGATGATGGTATTGATGTATGTACCTAGGCGGCAGCTGTCGATGAATGACCAGCTGATGTCGCGGTAGAGGCTGGACTTGGCATGACGCTAGCGAACAAACCTTGCAAGGTTGTTGCAACAGTTAGTGGCATGTCTTTCGTGCGACTCCACACGCCCCCCATCTTCTCACCATCATTTCCATCGTCACCCAAGAAAGGTACGTGCATAGTCACAGCAACACCGGCAAGCAGGCCAAACAGCTAATCAATCCCAGGCCGTATCCGCACTGCCGCACCTTGTGTCGTAGAGAAATGATAGATACATCAGCCAGAGACATCACATGATAGATCCATCATGTCGCTTCTTCCACCCCAAACCATCTCGCTCAAGCGCAGGCGCACCGAAGCCCCCGTCGACGCGCTGAGATTCGACCAAACAGATTCAAGCAAGCGCCGGAAGAACGACTATGCATACAGACGTCTGACCAAGCCCAACGATGCACCCACACCGTCAATAACGTCACCCGTTCCACCGACAACACCGATGGCAGAACGTAGGTTTCAACTCGAAGCCGCCTCTGCAGCAGGCGGGAAGCGCGTATTTGTCGAAGCACGGCCAACACCACCACCACCACAACAACAACAACAACAACAACAACAGCAACAACAGCAACAACAGCAACAACAACAAAACCACACAGTCGCAAACAGCCATAGCTATGGCCATCCTCCGCAACAAGCACCAACCTCATCGTCATCACCCTCCTCATCAACTCCCCGCCCCAGAAAACGTCCGGGCGCCGCCAGTGCCCTGGGCCACGCCAGCAAGCCCTCCCTCCACAATCCCATCCGCACCGAGCCCTCCAAGGACGACCTGCGCAAACTCGAAGCCCTATCCCAAGAAGTCGCAAACTCAGACAACCCCAACCCACACCCAACCCCCTCGCCATCAAAATACAAGCCCCGCGCCCCAGCCCTCCGCTTCGCACAACGGAATCCCCACCTCGCTGATTCCGACCCCCACCCAACCGCCAAGACCGCCACCGACACAGACCCAATGGACCTCGACACAGACGACTTCGTAATAGACACGTACATTCGCGAACCGCTCGCGCCCAACGCCCCGCTCCCCCCGGGCACCGTCGGCCTCCTCGTCCTCTCCTCGAGCGACGACGACTGGTGGAACGGGTCGGACACGGCGAGCGAGGAATTCGACACGGACGACGAGGACGAAAACGCAGAAGACTACTACGCAAATGATTACCCAGAGGATGAGCTGAGCGAGGACGACGAGGCGGGGCGCCATGTCTACCAGAAGAAGTACAGGCGGGGCAGCGATGAGGAGGAGTGGGGAATTGATCTTGACGCCGACGCCGACGAGGATGACGATGGGGTGTTGGGGAGTGGAGAGGACGAGGATGATTTACATTATAGGATGACGGTGCCCAAGGTCAAGAGGGCGCCGGTGGGGTATTGGGGTGCGGCTGGGGAGGCGCTATGAGGCAGGACTGTTCGTTCTTGAACCCATCTCATCTGGATTGAGAATGTATCGTGGTTGGCATTCATTCACCGGCCGGGTATCCTTGTTCTGTATAACCATCATGAACGCTCTGCAGCCAGGCGTGTAAAGAAACTGTACTCGTCGTCACCTTTATTCATGCTCGACATTCCCGTCAAGCTCTTTGTTCTCAATGTCATCCCCGTCAAGCTTCTTCCTTCAGCAAGGCCTACCGCTTCCACTTTCTCACCACCACATTTCCATCCATGCCCTTCTCCCTCACTACGCCACTCCACCCACACCCACACTACTCTTCCTCGCCTGTCCTGGCCCAGGTAATTGCCCTGGTAAGATCTGCCTCGGGCCCCCTCCTCCACCACCACCACTTCCTCCTCCACCAGCACCGCCCCCTCCTGTCCCAGTACCGCCATTGACATTGATGGCGCTAGGCCGTCTACTCGCCGTCCCCCCATCCAACCCCGCACTCAGCGGCCCAAACCCCGCGAGGCCCGCACTGTCCGGAAACCGATCTTGACTGGCACTAGCCGGCGCGCCCATCATGCCCAGCCCCAGACCCCCCCGACTCGAACCCATGCCATCCCCCAAGCCCAAGCCCATGCCCATGCCGCTGAATATGGAGCCGCCGCCGCCGGGTGGAGCGCCGAGTGCAGAGCGTATGAGGCCCTTCATGCGAATGTGTTGGTATTTGAAGCGTTGGGGGATGTGAATGTGTGTGGCCGAGGGGGTGGGTCGGTAGCGTGATAGCGCGGCCATGATGCCGTCTTTTTCTTCGTCCGAGTCGACGTCGCCCGAGGGCTCAATATCTTCGGGGAGAGGGGCATTTGCGTCAATAGCAGCGCCTGGAAATGGTTGTTAGCATGGGATAAACTGAAGTACGAAGAAGATTGGTCACCTACGTTGCTGTCTTGCTTGACTTTTCTTTTGGTATTGTGCTAGGAGCATGTCATAGGGCAGACTCCGCCCAGGAACTGCTCGCTTGAGACCCATGCTATGACTCTTGCAGGTCAAACTTCTGGCACAAAACCCCCCGTTCGGAAGAGGAACACCGCACTGCTTTTCCACGTCGACCGGTCCCTTGGGTTTCGCACCCTTGACCTTGGGTTCATCCTTTTTCTTCTTCTTTGCATTGGGCGCCTTGTCCGCATCCCCGTCGAGTTTGCGCTTCTTGCCCTTTTTGGCGCCGTCTCCATCCACGACTGCACCCTTCACTGCCGACTTGCGCGCCGTCAGACCATCGTCGTCTTCTCCCTTTTCTTTGCGGAGAGCGGCGTCCTTGGCTTCTTTCGCTTCCTTCTTCTTCTTGAGCTTCTCTTGCTTCTTGTTGAGGCAGTCGCGAATGTGTGTTGCAGAGGCTGCGCGTAGTACGGGGCGCCGACAGTGCTTGCACTGCACCGTGTCGACCTTGTCGTCGAGGGGGCGGCCGCTGGGGAAGCCGGTAATGGTCTTCTCGTCTAGAGGATTGACAATGGGCGATGTGACTGGTGGCACAGACTTGTCGACGTCTGTTTAGATATACATTAAAAACGCTGTCCTGCTTGCCGTATAGTTACGTGGTGCGCTTAGTAGACATACTGGTCGCATCGCTCTCTTTCCAATTGCCTGCAATCGATGGCTTAGGCACGGGCTTCTTGATTCTAAGTAGTACCTTCCTCTTGCCTGTCTTCTCCGGGCCCATGGCATCTTTGACTGCATTTGTATCGAGCAGTCCTGGCGTGGCGCCTGCAGAGGCTGCGCCGCATTAGCATCACCAGAGCACGAGGGGGTTAGCAGCAGCCTCACGCTTCATGACAAACGTGGCCACTACGTCGGCGGAGTATTTCGGTGGCGTCCGAGCGAGCAGGGTGAGGACTTTAGAGGAGTCAAGAATATTGAAACCGGTGGAATGACGCGTGCAAATGGGGATTGCTGGGGGGTGCGCTTATGTGCGCGTTGCAGAAGGCTGCTCTGGGGAAGCTGCCAAGAACATCATGTTTGGGGCTAACCGGAAGCAGCAGTCCGCGACCAACGAGCAATATGGACGATAGCTGCTCTTGTGTCTTGTAAGCAGGTACTCGCAGTGGTTTATACATTGTACAACACGCCAACATCGCGACGGTTGAACATTTAATCGAACATGTGTATGCTTGTTCTTATATTCACACTCCCCGGCCCTGTCCTCTTTAGACGCCCATTGGAAATGCTTATCATCACACAATGTCTCCAAGGCCATACAATACACCATCACTCATCCACTTGCAATCAAGGCATACAAGCAGACTATCACAAAACTGCTCTCGCCTTGCTATCATAGCCCATGTCATCCTGATACACGGCAGGCATACTGAGCTCAAGAAGCCAACAACGCCATGTAATGCAAGACTTGAAAACGCCTACAGTGTATGCTCTGACCATTCACCGGGTGATCTTTGGTTTGAAAACGCCGTCTTTGTTTTGACACCAGAAATCATAACACGCAGTACATGTCGTCATAAATAGAGTCTGCATCGGTTACGTTCCAGTCATGAATAGACCAATTTGACCCTCTTGCGTAGTGGGCCGTCTGTCAATACTTGTCTGCCCAAGTAGGCTCGATATGGTAGTCCAACAACATCTCTTCTCAGACGGTGGATACGCTAGCTCTTAGAATATGCTGGTGCCACTCATCGTCGACCCTTAGATTTGCTAGATTTGGCAGTCGCCTTGGCCTTGGTTTTCCGAGGCGGTTCGTACTCGTCATGGTGCACATGTCCATATTCCTCACGCATCATGCTATTTGTCCAGCGGAGACAGCGGGGTCCATCTGAATCTTTTTCCTTGTCGGCCGAGGCTGCCTTTTTGCGTGTAGATATACGTGGCTTGTCTTCAATGTCGGACATTGCGTCCTCGTCCTTGGTCTTTTCCTTGTTGGTCCTCTTATTCAGGTGCTCGCGCATCTTGCCCATATATGTCAATATGTGGTCTTTGTAGAGTAAAATCTCTTTTTTCAAACTTCGCTCGCGCAGGCCGCGTTCATCAAGCCAGGCGAGCAGAGCATCAATGTCGGCAGGATCATCGTAGTAAGCCCATTCGGTCGAACTTGATAGATGAGTCTCGCCCTCTTCCTTGGCCTTGCGCTCTGGAATTGTGAAGCCAAGACGCTCCTTGTCTTGTGAAAGGGCTGGCTCTTCAAGATTGGGCTGAAACTCGTGCTTGTCGGGCCCTTGGACCCAGATGCGGCCATTGGCGTAGCCATACTCTGCAGTGGAACTGTTGGGTATACCACCAAAGGGCATACCATTATGCTCGAACCAGTAATACTTGTTGAGAAAGCGGTCTTTGCCAAGAACTTTGCTGCGGTGTACCAGTGTTTCGCGCAGGTCATCATCAAGCTCACAAATATTGGCTTCGCATTCTGCTAGCTCGGCCCGCTTCTTTTGAATATCCGTCAGTAGCTTCTCCCATTCCTTTTGCTTCTTCAAGAGCTCTGCGGCGGCTTTGGCCTTTTTCGCCTTTTCCTTGCGAGCCTCTTCGGCGGCTGCTTTGCGCTTGTTCTTGTTGATAGGACGCATCTTGCCTTTGGCGGCTTCTTCGTCAGCGTTGCCAAGAGTGGAATCGTCTGCTGCACTCGTCATGGAAACATCCATAGAATCATTTTCCTTTGCCTCGGGTGGTGACGCAGGCGTGTTTTCTGGTAATAATATCTTCCGGTCAAGCTCCATGCGAGCAATGTCGGCCTCGCTGTGTAGTGGTTAGCTATGGGCAATCAAATTTCAGATTCCTAACTTACATTTCCTTGCGCTTGCGCTGATAATCAATCTTTTCCTTGCGCAGCCGAGTCATTTCCTGAGCGGCAGCAATCAGCTGGTCACGAAACGCTTCGGTGGTGACGGTCATTCGCAGCAAGATATCCAGTGCGGAAATCCGCAAATTGACGTCGAGATTAGTGTATTTGGCGGCAATGCTTTCAACGGTATTCTCTTCATCTGCAGGTACAAGCTGTGCAAGAATCTCATCACATGCTTCTTTCAGTAAGGGATCAAAGGAAAATCGGTAGAGCAAGGCGACAACAATGGCTTGCCAGTTACCGTGGCGGAAATTACGGACTTTGCATATTTCAATCCAGTCAAAGTCTTCGACAAACTCGGAAGCATTGTGCAGGTCCTTGGGAGGCTCGGGTGTAGGGGTTCGAGGCTTGACGGCAAGTTGCTGGGCTTCAGACCTTCGTAGGCTGCTGCGAGTAGTTCGGGCAGGTGGTTCGGGCTCTGGCTCAGGGCTAGACTCTTGGTCAGAGTCCTCTTCCTCAGAATCTTCAGCCTCGGTCATGTTTGGGAGGGCTGCCTGAATCTTGCCAGATTCATTGACAATTTGTTTGAGGACAGAGCAATGGACTTCGACAAAGAGTTCACACTCGGTTTCTTCTGACGAAAAGCCCATAGCATCGACAAAATCGTCATACGTAAATGAGTCGAGCATGTAAATGGTGTCGTGGACGTTCAAAGTCTCCCATGCACCCAGCAATGGGCCAATGCTCTTCATCAAAATACCTGTCTTTTCATCGTCGGGGCGTTGATAACCATCAGGGCCATCGTCGGAAAAAAACTTCAGGGTTGGTCGAACCCCAGTCTTGCCCACGTCTTTGATATCCAAGTCTTCACATGGGAATTTGATAGCGGGCACAAAAGGCCGAGCAGGTTGAGGTAGTTGTTGTACTGGCTGTGGTCCAGGAGCTTGAGGAGGTGGTTGAGGAGGATGGTGAGGAAAGCTTGTTTGATAGCCCACGTTTATAGGCAGTGCAGGGCCGCCATGCTGCATGCCTAGCACATGTACAAGGTGAGGAGGCAGAGGACCGGTAATCTGGGGGGGTGGGTGATTAAAACCAAACGGCGGCGGTGCGCTGTGCACTTGGTACGGCAAAGGTCCGCTATTCCACATGGGGTGAACACTGACAGGATGTTGAAGATATGGCGGAGGTCTAGAGAATTGAACAAGAGATTGATTATGACCTTGTTGATGTTGATGTTGATGTTGCTGTTGCTGTTGCTGTTGATGTTGCTGTTGCTGTTGTTGCAGTGGTGGCGGTGGTAGCTGTTGTTGCGCATATGCATGCTGGCCGTTGGCCACAAAACTGTGAAAGCCTGGCTGAATTTGACTTGGTGATGGTAAAGGGCCATGGTGGCCATTTTGATATGGTTGGTGACCATTGGGCGCTTGTTGTTGGGATTGGGGAGGGGCCGGGGGGCCGTTACCGTTTACATTGTCAATCATGGCCTGGCGCTGAGCTGCAATGGCAGCTTGAGTTTTGCGGTGGTCGGGTGCTTTAGTCGGGATATTATAGAGTTTGGCGAGCGTACTCTTGACCATCCAGGGAGCTCCGATCCAGGAATCGCGCTTGATGGTAGCCCGTAGGTACTGTTTTAGGATGAGCTTTGAATAAGTCTTTTTATCTCTTTGGAGGTCTGCGCCCTTGTGCTTGATGACTGTCTCCTTAGTGTCGTCCATGGTGATGATGTAGCCCACGTAACCAGCATTGGTCAGCATTTGGCCATGGTACATTGTATGCACTTGGTTATTATCGGTGAAGCCAGTGACGACGCCGCGTCGGCGAACATTATTGCCATCCTCGACCGTGACTACTTCATCCTGAAAGAATTCTTCTTTGAAATGCTACAAATTTAGGGATTAGTACATTCGACGTAGAATTAGTGTGATGCAGTCATCTTACATCGTATACGGCATTTACTGTCAAAAGTTAGCAATAGTTCTGAAGGTGTAGAAGTCCACGTACCCAAATCATCCATGCGAGTCTCCGTGCGGAACTGGACAAAACCAAGCACAGGCTTCCGCAAGGGCTTCGGAAAGATTTCGTTGATCTCCTTGACAGCTTCCGTCTGCTCCTCTGTTACCTCCCGCTCCAGAACGTGTGGAATAGGCGTTGAGCCTACCTCGCTCTCCTTGGCCTCGAAGTAGGTCAGGTTCGACATGCCAGTCGCTTCGCATGTAAAAGACGTCTGTAAAAAGGTCAGACTTGTGTTTTAACTTGCAGGGCAATTTGCCGAGGCAGACTTGCCTGAAGGTAGTAGTCGCGACTATGTCAAGTCAGCAATGCGCATCGTGCACTAGTCTTTGGTTTTTGGCAAAGAAGATCATACCGAATCAGATAGGCCTCGTAGTCTACAAAGACCTCTCCAGTGCCTTGCATTACCCAGACCTGTCCAACCAAATCAGCATCCGGCCTTGTATGTTTGGTTATATCAACGCACCTCGGTACTGTCATCAAGGCCCTTGGGTTCCGGTAGTAGCTTCACCGGCTTTCGCTTATAAAAGACCTTGGGCCGAATTAGCCATGATGTTGCTTGAAAACATCATTATCGTGTCATACCATTGTATCTGGCGCCCTGGCACATGTATCCTATCACTTCTGAGCGACCGCGTCGCCAACAATCGACAAGTGTCGCGTCGCAACAAGCGCGTCTGATATCACCACTCCGGACTCCCAAAAGGAATGTTCCGGGGCAATGGCCCCTCGGTGGGGTGCTAGAGGCAAGCAAGAGCTTCTTATGCGCGCCCAATCCACCTCTATCGAAAAGTCGTCGCACCCTTGCGAGTCCGAGTGCGGTTCCGAGACGCGTCGCTCAGTTCCGAAGGCGCGTCTAGTCGGTTGGTGGTGGATTTCGGGGGATTCAAATTGCGGTGGTGGAGGAGGTGGGCAGTAGAGAAGAGGACAAGAGTAGAGGAGGGCTACATGAAGGGAAAAGCCAGCGGAAAGGTAGTCTTGCAGCGTGGTTGGCCCTTGGCAGTGCTAGCACTACCCCATTAGGCTTGGACTCTACAACGACCCATCCTCACACTTCAATGCTGTGCACGCCACCAGCATCGCCATATCGGCATGTTTGGACTCTATTTGATCGTCAGAATGGGCTTATTCAAGATGCGACATGAGCGCAGTATGTGAAAAACACATACAGCATGGCATGGCAATATCAAAAGCAGGAGTGACGTCTGGGAGCATGCTCTGCTGGGAGTCACCCTGAGCAAACCCTTGGACAGTCTGACCCACTCGCCTGGCCACAACGCATTGTCCCTTCCGGTGGACCGGTCTGTACTGGGATACTCTGTAAAGTCACTACTTTTTGTTTAGTTATGCTATGTAACTGCACTCTATCAAAGTGTCATAGTGGCTTCAGGCACCTACTCACTCTGGATGATAGTACCACCCACGTCGGCAGTACTACTCGAAAGCATCGTCTATGGGCCCAGAGAAACAATGTTGGACACCATGGCATGTAGTTCAACTGGATCATTCTATTTCTTTGGGGCCATGTGCTATGGGTCCAAAGGCCCTCTTTATCATCTGATCACGGAGCAGTTTCAATGCAACGAGAATACAATATGCTTGGAATGGCAAATCTTCTGGATTGACTGTTTATAAATTCACAATTCAAAATACACTACCAAGAACCCAATCCAGCTGCCCACCACGCCAATGGCCGAGTATGAGCTTGTAAACATGAGTGGAATAAACTCGAAACGGGGACCAAACACAATAGCATGTATCAAGGAACAGTACGCAATGAGGGGTATCGATAGTGCAATGTAGAGCAAGGAAAAGCGATCAAGGAGAAAGATGCGTGGCTTGGGTGATCTACAAGACATTAGCAAACATTGACCAGAGGGCGTGTCCATCCTTACGCTGGAACAAGCCTGTCAAACACCAAGAGGAACAGAACCAGCCAGAAAATGGTGTATACCGTTTTGACTGGAAACTCGGCTGCAGTGAATAACAGTGGGAACAAGGACACGTGGCCCGCAACAGCAAGTGGCCGGAATGCGCTTAGATATCGACGGTCATGCAGCGCAATCAGACTGAATGGTATGATGACGAGTAAAATGGCCTTTTCGTGAACATGCCAGCCAAAGAGAAAAGAGGCATAGCCGCAAAGGGTGACTGCACCAACAAATGTTTCCCAGGTTGGCTTGAATAGGAGGCGCAAAAGGACGGGCTAATGCTCTTAGTAGAAGCCATCTATCAAGGCAGCAGACTTACGATTTGGGCTCCCAAGGTGAGTACAAAGCAAGTCAATGGAACAATATCCGGGAGAACGGCAAAGGTCGAGTCTCCTACAAGACCGCGGGTAACACTATTGACAGCCTCGTAGTTGACGGCAAGTCCCAAACGAGGGGCCACTGGATTCGTCAGCATTGAGTCACGAGTGGCATGGGCAAACATACGGTGAATCAGAACTCTGTCCGAAAACGAATACAAGGCCCAAACGTTTGGTGCCCAGTAGGCGTGAGTCAGTCCACGAGAAAATGGAAACAGACGGCGGAATACTTGATCGAGCTGACCCCATTGTGCAAACGGACCAAAGGCGGCAGCCAATACAGCAATGATGCCTACTCCCAATTTGATGCAGTTTAAGAAGCGTATGTTGAAGTAAGGAAAGGATGAGCGCAGGCCGAGGCAGTATGCGCGAAGGAGGTAGACAAAATAAGCAGGCGCAATGTACATGTATATGTGTTTAAAGCAGAGGAGAAGGGCAAAGAGGAGACCAGAGAGTAATTGCGTGGAATTGTTGCGTGCGAGGACGATGGAGAGGACGAGCATGCCGTACATGAAGCCATTGTACTGAAAGTGGACATGATCAATGATGAGAAGGCCTGGGGAGAGGAGAATGGAGAGCGCAGCAGCATGTGAAGTGGACTTGGACTTGGATGTCTTGACATGGCTGCAGATGGTCAGAATGGCGATTGGGTCAAGCAAAGGGTAGTAGGTGCGAATACAGGTGGAGGGCATATACTAATAGGAGCTCGGTCAAGATGACGGTAGCACGCTGAAAGTAGACTGTTTGCCAGCTGTCATAACCCAGAGCCTCGACTTGGAGCATTGCTGCGTCGACGTGTGCTGCAGCTTGAGACAGCAGCCACTCGAAATAGGCAAAAAAAGGAGGATAATCCAGCGTCCATTCCGAGGTTTTCTAAGCAGGCGTGTGAGTAGGGCAGAGGCCATGGGTGTTTTGCAACAGACTGTCTCCTACTTCATAGTACCACTGGTTTACAGGTAGAGAATGGGTCAAGGCTAGCCAGTTGCGATGAACTTCAAAGTCGGTCGACTTGCTGCCATGGCCAGGTCAGTCAGTGTCAGTCAGGCTTAGAGGAGGACGGTGAATAGGATAGGGTACTGGTATTGGCGGAACAAGGGGGAATTAGACATGGTACTTACTATGCAGGAAACAAGAGCACTTTTAGCGCCGTGGCCACAATGGCGCACTGGGCTATGGAAGGAAACAATTCTGGCATGGAGGCCTTTTTTTTGGATGGCGGTGGTTTAGGTAGACCGTCAAGTCAACGGTAGAGGCGCGACGAGGCACCAAAAGGGTTCAATGTTGAGATGGGCTTGACCGCCGGTAGTCGGTGTCACGTGTTCGTAGGTACAACGGCACAACAGCACGCAGGAGCCCTTAAGCGAGCGCCCTGGCCACATTTCTTCTTTTTTGACGAGCGAGCGAGCGATCCTGCCTAGGCTAGGCTGGCTAGACTGGCTAGACTGGCTAGACTGGGTTAGGCTGGTTAGGCTGGTTAGGCAGGCTCGGTAGGCTGGCTAGGCTAAGCTATGTAGAGTACAGATTGACTTAGCAATACACCCAAGTACTTACTGTAGGTAGAGTATCTACGTACCACACCGAACTGGGGATACGCTGGGCAGCTGGGCAGAGTGAGAACAACGATGCGGGGACGGGAGCAAGTGAAGTTACTACTTGCCGGTAACCTACCCACAAACGCTGCTTGACCCATGTGAACTCTTACTCACAAGCACCAGATCAACCCCACCGTCAAAACAGAGTTTCCCATGTCAATCTGCCATGGGATTGGCGCAAACCGTCTTCTTCCATCTCTACTTGGACTCCCCACCATCGTTTGCTTGTTGGATTGGTTACAAGCGTCAAGAAGAAGGCGCCGCATTTGCCTGTGAAAGCCAGACGAGCAACGTGGCGAGAAAGCGTAGGTATATAGCTACATACTATATGTACCGATGTAGGTACCGTAAAGATCATCAGCTGTCCAACATGTCACCTAGTCAGGGACAAGGCGTGGTTGCATCAGTGCTGATGCAATTACCCGCATTGTGCAGTAACCCGCCGTGTAAGCCAGTCCAATGTGTCGCCGCCGCAACCCTCTGGCAACACAGTCGCAGAGGCACTGGGATGAGAGGAAAAGCAGATTGTCGGTAATCAGAAGTGAGAATCGCTCCCTGCAATGCGCGATCTCTGCCGCACGTCGCCGTGCACACACAAGCGACGTCTTCCGTCCTCTTCTTCAATCTTTGTTGTTCCAAAAGACTAATATACATACATAGGCTACTACCATAGGTCTCTAGTAGTACAGTAGTCTACTCTTTACTAGGTACTGTCTTGTCTTGTCTTCCCCCCTACCACTTGGCGGTCACGGCAGTCTGAATGGTTTGCGCGACTCAGCAGCCGGGGGGGAAGGGGCGAGCGGCCTGCGCGTTTAAAATAAGCAGGCGCCCCCAAGTCACCCTTTCCGCTTTCGGTTGCCTCATTTGCGCCTGCCTCCTGTCTGCCACATTTCTCACCGACCTCCCACGGGTTTTGACTTGTCCACCGCCTCGACCCAGGTCACATCCCCCCCATTTTCTTCGATCCCTTCGCCCTTCGCTCATTCTTCTATCCTTCTATACTTGCATTTGGGGCATCTGGACAAGCAACACCCTCATTTTGCACTCTGCATTACTATTCTTCACTCTTTCTGTCTTCGCATTCCCCCAAACAAAGCCAAGCGACCAAATCGAGTTGGGATTGCACCACTTTCACCTCTCTCCCCCCCCCCATTTGCACCCGCCTTATCTGGAGCCCTGGCACCGCACTGAACTTGCTCGCAACCTCGACGGACGAGGCCTTGAGTCCGCTTAGAAAACGAGTGCACAGTTGGTTTTGGGGGAGCGCAACGAGTCCGAGTCCATTGTGTTGTTGTGAAGCTTTTGCGTCTGCACACCCTACCCACCAAGCGACCCAGCAACCAGGCTTCCTTCATCTCTGATTGGCGCAGTCTCTGTATTCAGGGCCATTGTGCTTTTGCATGTCAGTCTCCCTCTCTTCGTCCACCTTTGTCTCTTCCACGTCACACTGCTAAACTCTCTCCCAGCTTCACTATACCGTTTAATACAGCGAGCGTACATTTTGTTCCCGTAGCAAACTTGATTGCAACCCATTGAACCCATCTTTTCGCCGTCCGGTCCTCCGAGTCCAGGACGCAATTTCTCATCGGCAACACGGCCGTCCTCACACAAAACCCGCGGGACAGCCTCAGTCTGCCCCCGCATCTACTCGCCATGCAGCAACACGACGGCACACAGACGGCTCCAAGCGGACCCCGTCTGCAGTCGAGCTTCCACAGGCAAATGAACGGTGGCCACCACGGCTTCTCCCACGGTGCCTTTGCTACCAACCAACCCGGCTATGCTGACAGGCATCCCGAGAGGTCTAGCAACATGTCCATCAACACGGGTCGTATGAACCCAGGCAACCAAAATGGCAACGACTTGCAGACACCGGGAACTGGATACGACATGAATTTCACGCCCCTCTTGCCTTCACAACTGTTGCTGGGCAGTCCCTTTCAGCCGGGCTCGCCTTCGGCCTTTGCTTCTCCACAATTTCAGCAATACGCCAACTTTGCTAGTCAGAACCAAAGTCAACAAAATCACCAGGGCAACCACGTGGGATCTCCGCTGCAGCAACCACTGTCTCCACAATTGTACCAGAGCCTTGTCTCGCCCACGAGCATGAATGGTCAGGGTTTCTTCGCTGGGCCCCAATCACCAACCAGTGGTTTCATGGGCCATGGTGGTCAGGGTCTAGGCGGTCTTGGTTCCTCGATGCCTATTGCGCCCGGTCTGGTCTCTGGAACGAGCAGGACCGTGTACTTGGGCAACATCCCCCCGGAGACGTCGGCAGAAGAAATTCTGGGCCACGTTAGGAGTGGGCAAATCGAGTCTGTCCGTCTTTTGCCCGATAAGAATTGCGCCTTTATTTCCTTCTTGGACAGCAGCTCCGCTACGCATTTTCATTCGGATGCCATTTTGAAAAAGTTGTCGATTCGAGGCCAAGACATCAAGATTGGTTGGGGAAAGCCGTCGCAGGTGCCGACGTCTGTCGCCCTGGCTGTGCAGCAGTCGGGTGCTTCGCGCAACGTATACCTTGGCAACCTGTCGGAAGACGTTACCGAGGATGAGCTCCGCGAAGATTTAAGCAAGTTTGGCCCCATTGACACGGTCAAAATTGTCCGTGAAAAGGCGATTGGCTTTGTTCACTTTTTATCCATTGGCAACGCCATCAAGGCCGTCGCCCAGCTTCCGCAAGAGCCCAAGTGGCAAGCTCCTAGGCGTGTATACTATGGCAAGGACCGTTGTGCCTATGTTTCCAAGACGCAACAGCAAAATGCTGCACAGTACTTGGGCATCGCTCCCGGCTACGCGCACGTGCTTAACGGTGCCGACCGTGACATGATTTCCAATGCGCTCGCACAACAGTCTGTGGCTGCTGCTGCCGTTGCAACGTCAGCTGGCGGTGTAAACAACCTAGGCAACCGAACAGTATATCTCGGAAACATTCACCCCGAAACCACGATTGAAGAGATCTGCAATGTTGTGCGTGGTGGGCTTTTGCATCACATTCGATACATTCCAGACAAGCACATTTGCTTTGTCACCTTTATTGACCCCACGTCGGCCGCCTCATTTTATGCGCTTAGCAACCTCCAGGGCCTCATGATTCACAACCGCCGTCTAAAGATAGGCTGGGGCAAGCACTCAGGAGCTCTACCTCCAGCCATTGCTCTGGCCGTCAGCGGCGGGGCCTCTCGCAACGTCTACGTTGGTAACCTGGATGAGTCGTGGACCGAGGATCGCCTGAGGCAAGACTTTTCAGAATACGGCGAGATTGAGTTGGTTAATACCCTACGCGAAAAGAGCTGCGCCTTTGTCAATTTTACCAACATTGCCAATGCCATCAAGGCTATTGAAGCTATTCGCGGGCGGGAAGAGTACAAGCGGTTCAAGGTCAACTTTGGCAAGGATCGCTGCGGAAACCCCCCTCGCCAAATGAACAATCAGCAAGCTCAGGCTCAACAGACTGGCAGTGACGGTGTCCAATCCCCATCTCCCATCAATGGTCTGCACCCCAATCGTGCTGGTGCATCTGTATCACCTACAGGATCTGGTGCCCCGGGCTCTGGCAACAGCAACAATGGCCAATTTCCATCCGTACAGGCTCCCGCGCCTACCAATATCCTCAACACGGGCAACAACAATCCTTTGATGATGTACCTGCAGGCTCAACAGCAGCAACAGCAACAGGCCGAGGCCAATATGCAGCAACAGCAGCAACAGCAACAGCAACAGCAACAGCAACAGCAACAGAACCAGCAACAGTCGTTCCAGTCGCCCCAAGCTGCGTTCTACGGTGCCGACCTCAACCCCAGCCCCCAGCCACACCACTCGCATACGTCACACAATAGCACATCGAGCTTCAGTCTCATCAATGGCAACTCGAGCGGGAGCATGTCAGGAACGACTACTGTCGGAGGTCTCTTGGCTCCATCAAACCTCAACGCTCGTGCCCAGCACTCTCGCGCAGTCAGTCTGCCCGCCTTTACACAAGGTCCCTTCAGCTCTGTCCAACAGACACAGGCACCACAACAAAATTCCTTTGGCAGCTTGAGCTCAGGCATCGGTGGTTTCGGATCTGGCAATGGCGGTTACGGCCTCGCCATTCAGGGTGACGGTGGTCTGCCTGGGTGGGCCGAGGAAGAAGTCGGTGCCCAGTAAGACGGACACCTTGACCTTGTGCCGCGTTTATCTATCCCATTCAATGTGCGATACTTGCCCACTTACCACATTTACTCGTTGGTTGCTAGTTTCGCTTTCTATTCTACTTTTTTTTTCTGCATTGGAAACCTGGGGTTCAAGTGAGGACCAGGGTACGGGCGCTTTCTCTTGAGTAAAATTGTTGTAATCTACTCGCTTTGGAAAACACCCCAAAATGCCCTAATACTTTGTTCCATTTCACCATTCGCTTTTCCTTTTCACTCTTCACCGCCGTTCGCTTTTTTTGTTCTTTCTAGATACCTGTAGGGATTAGGTGGGGAGGATGTGTATGGACAGCAAAGCTGGAGGGAAGGACTCTTATGGCGTGTCGGTGCTGGACGTACCTAGGTAGTCAATCTGATCATGTGTCATATATCACTTGCCTGTGCTCTGATTCCTGCTTGACGTGTTTCTGTTTCTTTATGTGTTGTTGCGCGGTTCCTGCCATGACGGCCGTGTTCTCTCTACCTACGACCTCCAATGCCCTTGTCACTCCCAACCCTATCCTAACCTGTATATCACCCACCTCTCCCTTCAAGCGGGCAACCAGCAGTTGGGCTAGCCGAGAGAGAGGTCAAGAGCTACTCCCTCTGTCTTAACGTCTGTAGGCGTGGTGATAAGAACTTTTCCACACCGCCTTTTGTCCCAGCCACCTGTTTGAGTATTCTTGACGGGGAAAGAAGATTGGCTTTGCGTGCTTTTCAAAAAGTTTTTGTTGGTTGTGGTATGGAAGAGTCGAGGGATGGTAAGCAGGGACTGTGATTGTGATTGTGATTGTGACTGTGTTGTGGAGTGCGAGGGATATACATCACGATAGTGATAAGATGGAAAGCAAATGATTTGTTCACGCAAGAGGAGGAGGAGGAGGAAGAGGAGGAAGATGGGGCGAGATGAATATCTTGCGTATGCGACTGCTCACCCTCGCAATCGCAAGACATCACACCAAAGCCGCACCGCCGACTCTCTCCCTCGTTCCTTGTGGCTCGTGAGCGTAGGTGCCATCATGGTCTCTTGGACCTCGGAGCGGCCAATGTCGCGCCCGGATCTGATCATGTTCCAACACGCTCGAATCATCTGTTGTGTGGACTCAAAGTCTACTTGTTCTTCCATCGCTGCGGTCATGTTGCCTCCTTCATCGTCTGAATCTGACAGTCCGACAGACATGCTGATGCAGCACACGACTCCTGGAGATTGTATGGCGCCAGACTGTGGGCCTTCGCGAGTGGCTCGCAGTTCGGCCAAGTGTATGGTAAACATGCCAGCACTGTAGGTGACGCCTTGCTGTACAGTCAAAGTATGTCTTGGTGCCCAAAGCGCAGCCATGTACTGTCGCATTGTAAAGACGTGGGCGTCCTGCTGTTGCAAAGGGATCGATGTAACCGTAGCTTGGCTCGAGGCATTCTGTATGCATATAAATGTGCGGTTCTGATCGAGGCTCGAATGGTGTAGCAAATGTTGGTAGGCGTGCACAGGTGGCTGCCGAGCCGGATTACCCTCGGCATCTGGTACCATAGGCGGAGGATCCTTGGGAGCATTTGCTTCGCGAAAGGCGCGGTAGTTGAGGGACCATGGTGCGTCGCGTCTGATGGAGGGGAACTGCGTCTCGATAGCTTGGACGAGGGCGTTGACGATGGTAAGTGACGCGTCGAGGCTCATGGAGGGGTTGTTGATTAGAAAGAGCCTGTGCGAGGGGTCAGTTCCACAGGGTACAAATTGGGCGGCAGTAATGACCGTACCCGCTGTACTGCATGATTGGCTATGTGTACATGTATGATGGGTTAGGGGTCAAGTGTAGTATTGAATGTGCAAGGTAGTTTCTATGTGTTCTGCGTCCGAGGATTACTGGTATACCGGTACCGGTAGGTAGACGAAGGCAAGCCAGGCACCGGTAGGGTACGGTAGCTACCGTATTGTGTGCGACTGCTACGGTAGACGTGGGGAATGAATGATGAAGTAAAGATGAAGCGTCGCAGCCCTTGTGAGGTTTGTATACAATTTTATTTTATTTTTATTTTCATTATTGTACTTTAATTTCAATTCATAGAATCGACTGTATTCATCCACATGACAAGTATGCCAAAGGAAATGCACCTCGACCGTTGTTGGAACCTTGGAACCTTCGCAACGCAGGAACAGCCGCAACGCATGACTCGAGTGTTCTTGTGGCGTCATCATCATCCCAGACCACCAGACACCCACCCTTGACCAAAGCGTGTGGCCTCTGATTCCAAGTCCCGAATCCCCTTTCCTGTTTCCTTTCCTTGCCTTTCCTTTCTCCTTGTTGAGCTGCGTTCAAGCTATGCATTCCAACTGATCTTGTTATCATCTCGTGTCATTTTCATTCCATTCTTCTCTTGCCATTCTCTCACCCTCTGATCCTTGAAACGTCAGCGTCTTTTGGTCCCATTCGTATCGAAAATCAGATAAAATCTTAGTCCCATGCTGATGCCCTTGACGGCCGTCGCTGTCATCCCACATGGGTCCGCCTCTGCGTCGCATCGTTGTGCTATGCGTGTCTGCGACCCTACTCCTCCTAGCCTTTCGTCAGTTGGGCGCTCGCGACGAGTTTCCCTCGCCAACCTTTACATCTTCGAGCAAGATTGAGCATTCGATACAATGGAATCAACTTTCCATACGATACCCGGTTCCGTCCATGATTGCCCTTCCCAAGGGCACACCTCTCTCCATACCCAAGATACAGCATGAATTTGGAATCGAGACGGAACACAACAAGGCTCAACGGCTTCGCAGACGCGCAGCCGTCAAGGATGCCTTCTTGCACACTTGGGAGGGTTACAAAAAGTACGCATGGCTGCAGGACGAAGTCACTCCCGTCACAGGCGGTTTCAAAAACAGCTTTGGTCAGCGTGGCGCCTCTCTGGTAGACGCCTTGGACACGCTTGTCATCATGGGATTGGAAAAGGAATTCGAGCATGCGGTCAGGGCGATGAAAAAGATAGACTTTACAACGGCAGGCCTGCAGAAATTAAATGTTTTTGAGACTACCATTAGATATTTGGGAGGCCTCTTGAGCGCCTACGATCTCAGCGGCGCAAAGCACCATGTCTTGCTCGATCGAGCTACTCAGCTTGGTGACATGCTGTATGCAGCATTTGACACGCCAAACCGCATGCCCATTACACGATGGGACTGGGAAAAGTGTGCCGAGCCATTCAGGACATGGAATAAAATAGGACTGACGACTTTGTAGTGCTGCTCTCAACGGCCCCCAATCCGCCGACTCGCAGTGTCTTAGTGCTGAACTTGGATCCTTGACCCTGGAGTTTACGCGCTTGTCGCAACTCACAGGCAATCCAAAGTACTATGATGCTGTGCAGAGGATTAGCGATCTTCTTGAAAAGCATCAAAACAATACCAAGCTACCCGGCCTGTTTCCCGTCTTGGTCAGCCCGCTACGCGAGGAGTTCAACACGGGCGAAACCTTCACCATGGGGGGCATGACGGATTCACTATACGAGTACTTTCCAAAGCAATACTTGCTACTGGGAGGGCATGCAGACCAGTACAGGAGATTATACGAAGCTGCCATGGAGCCCGCGAAGAAGCATTTATTCTTTCGTCCGCTCAATCCCAATGACCAAGAAATTCTCGTCGCTGGTGACGCGCGACTTAGCTCAGCCGGCACTGTCAAGCTCGAGCCTGATACTCAACATCTCTCTTGCTTTGCTGGCGGCATGCTTGCTCTTGGATCCAAACTCTTCAATCGAACAGAGGACATGGAGGTTGCTCGCAAGCTCGTCGACGGCTGTGTCTGGGCATACGATGCAATGCCTACTGGCATCATGCCCGAGACGTTTAGAGCTGTGCCTTGCAACGGCGAGGAAGATTGCAAATGGAACGCAGAGAAATGGCATGCAGCTGTAAAGTATTCTTATTCGAGCGACTACAATGCGCTCCGGTTGGATGTTCACGACATCATCAAAGCAGATGGACTGCAGTCAGGGTTTGCCAAGATTGGGGATCCGCGATTCTTGCTCAGGTACGTTCTTTTGGTGCGATCATGGGCCATTCATCCCTATTCATATTTTCACAGGCCCGAAGCCATTGAATCGGTTTTTGTCCTCTACCGCATCACGGGCGATTACTCCCTCCAGGATACTGCCTGGCGCATGTTTGACGCCATCAACACTGCCACCAAGGCTGAATTTGCGCATTCGGCCATTGCCGACGTGACGGTTCCCAAAGGCCAAGAGACTCGAAAGCTGGACGAGTGTGAGAGCTTTTGGATGGCAGAGACGCTCAAGTATTTTTACCTCGTTTTCAGTGAGCCCGAGCTTGTCAGCCTGGACGACTACGTCTTGTAAGTGCTTTTTTGTTGTTGTAATGGATGAGTGGAAGTTAATGCTAATGTCATGCCAGTAACACAGAAGCGCATCCATTTCGTAGGCCACGTGCATCGTGAGCTTGAGAATGGCCGCTAGGTATTGGTCACATGTGATGCCAATTACAACACTTCCCATTACGATTTATCAATTCAACCATAGGCACGAATCGGCATTATCCAATATTACTGTCCGTATAAATGCCAAGCACGAACAGATGACGGGATGCTGTCATTGTAGCCTTGGCGGATTTCTACTTGCTTCACACGGAGGCCGTCATGCCATCTTGATTGAAATGCCGATGTCAACCTCATGATGTTCATCATTCCTGTGTCGTACTAGGCGAGTAACGGGAATTGCGGATCGCGGATATCTTGGGTACTAGATGTAGAGGGCTGGCTTTTATTATAGACGTGTGATGGACTAGGCGTTGCAAGAAGAGAGAATCGTAGTCGATAAAATGACATGATGGTAAGCCTGCAGGACTGAAGGCTACAGTCAGTGTTGTATCTCACGTCTTAGAGTTTAACACTTTGAGTATGGCTTGAGGCCCGCTGGGAGGGTTGATATACACTTCACCTCAATGACTTGCATTCCACTCCTATTGATCAACTCTACACATTACTGTCTTGTATGGTAGGTATTGTTTCCAAATCCCTTCCACTAAAAACACTCTCAGCCTGCGGTGGATACGCTCGAGGCTCTTTGCGAGCTATTCGAGGCTGCTATGGACTTTGGTCAAGAAGAGGTCGTGCATCCCCGTGTTCTAACCTGGAATTGACGCTCCAACAAACCCCAGATTCATGATACCGGTACTCTCGTACATTGGCGTATTGGACGTCCCCGGTCCCGCCAAGTGTCCTCTTGTGCATGGAGCCAATCAGAGCGTCACGAGACCAGGACCGGGCTTACAGGAAGCAAGATAGCCGAATCTACCATCCCGAGAATCCCACCACCACTCGACACGACAGCCGGTTCAACACCACCTACTTGCAACGGAATGGCATGAATTGACGAATGGCGAGATCGATGCCGCACGTGAAGGACCATCGGCGATGATTGCGTGCCGCCGTGGCCTGATCTTACATATCGATCTCCCAGGATTCCAACAGGGGTGAGGGAGCTTAATAAAGCCGTCCGCACCAGCGCGTGAAGTAGCACAGGGACGAGACTAAATACGACCAATACTGGAGATTGCATATACAGGGAGGGTTTCCTTCTTCAAAGCTTTGAATCATTGTTTTCTTTTCTTTCTTTCTTTCTTTTTTTTTGATACCCAGGTTCCTCTCCTAGTCATTGCTGCTCTTCTTTTCTTTTCTTGGCATCTGAGTATATTTGCTCAGCCCCTGAGTATATCACTTCATACCTACCGTCATTCACTCATCCTCACCATGTCGGACGAGCGCAACATTGTCATTGTCGGCGCGTCAACTGCAGGTCTTTCGGCCGCACACTATACCTTGAAGCATATCCTTCCTGTCGTCAAAGCAAAACAAGATGCAAAACATCATGTTTACCTCATTGCGCCTTCGGCACGCTGGTACTACCGTGTAGCCTCCCCACGTGTTGCGGCCTCTACCAGGCGTATGGCTGCCGAAAAGGTTATATTTGATCTTCACAAGAGTTTTGCAAAATATTCAAAGGAAGACTTTACCTTTGTCGAGGCATCTGCTACTGGTCTCGACACCACCTCCCGCACCATTGCATACCGCAGCAACAATAAGGATCCCGAAGAAAAAGAACTGGCCTACCACGCTTTGATCGTGGCCACGGGGACCAAGACTTATCATCCTGCCTTCTCTGCCAGCAGCGACATCCAAGATACCCTCAACGCCATCAAAGAGACCAATGAAAAAATAGCCGCCTCGAAGAAGATCGTGATTGCAGGCGGTGGACCCACGGGCATTGAATTTGCAGGCGAAGTAGCAGAACACCTCAACGGCAAACCCGGCCTGTTCAGCAAACTCCAGCGCAACGCCACCATCACCCTCATAACAACAGATCCCCATCTCCTCCCCACCCTCCGTCCCGCCATTAGCAAATCCGCCGCCGCAAAACTAAAAGGCATGGGCGTTGACATTCTCTACAACACTCGTGTCCTCGACACCGCCACATCCTGCAACATCGACAGCTGCGACCTGTCCAAGGTCGTCAACCTCTCCGACGGCTCCACCCTCGAGGCAGACTACTACGTCCCGGCCTACGGCGTCATTCCCAACTCCACCTGGCTCCCCGATGTCCTGCTAGACGAAAAGAGATATCTTAAAAACAACGCGCATACACTGCGCGTCGATGCCGCAGGACCCCGCGTCTACGCTTTTGGCGACATTGGCTCGCATTCCAACAACACGGCGTGGCAAATCTCGCAGTCACTGCCTGTGCTCGTTGTGAACCTGACGCGCGATTTGCTTGCCTTTGATGCGGCGAATCCAGAGGCTAGGCCCAAGGGCAAGGATCGCCGGTTTGTGCCTGATGCGAGGGAGATGGGGATTGTGCCGATTGGGAGCGTGGGAGGTGTGGGCGCGGTGATGGGATGGAAGGTGCCGAGTTGGTTTGTGTGGTTGATCAAGGGGAGGGATTATATGGTGGGATTGAGTGCGGAGGCGACGGCGAGCGGGGGGAGTGTGGGGAAGAGGGTCAAGCTGGAGAAGGAGGAGGAGGTTATATGAGTCGGGTGGCGTGAATCATGGTGTTGTAAATAGGTGTTTGGTTGATCCTGTGAAGATGTGCATGGAGTTTTATACCAGGGCTACTAATGAACGTCCCTAGCTAAGTACTTACCTACGTACGGTAGGTACCAGTCTATATCGATTTCTTACAAGTCTGTATTTGAAGCTGAATCCAATATCAAGTCCAACTCGTCAGGTCAACGCTCGTAGGTATTGACCAGCATCAAGCAGAGAAAGGGAACTTGGAAATCATCATTTAAAATCCTCCCGACTAACCCTCAGCTTGTGTTTGTAGTGACGACTGACAGGGCAGCTCAAAGTCAGACTTCAATGGTTCGATGACGTGCCAAGGCCGCCCTGAAAAGCGCCTCGGCTAAGCTTTGAGCTCCGATGATATCCCCCCCACCCTTGTCCTGACCGGAACCAACATTGACGATCACCCTCTCCCCTCTCTATTCTATACCTTAAGACTCTTTGACATTGATGTGTCGAGAGAATTGCACGTTACATCAAGAATGTCGGGATTGAGGATATTAGTACCCGTCAAGCGGGTCATTGACTATGCGGTATGTCTGATTCCTCCCACGCCTTTTGAGGTTTCGAGTCTATCGAGAAAATGAGATGGCACGAAGCAAGAAGAAGAAGAGATAGTAGTAGTCATGGTATCAATAGTAGTAGTAACAAACCTCGGCGCATACATGAACAAAACCAACATTGGGAATACCTCACTAACAACACCACCACCAACACCACAGGTCAAACCCCGCGTAAACCGTTCCCAAACTGCCGTCGAGACCGCAAATGTAAAACACTCGATGAACCCCTTTGACGAACTCTCCATTGAAGAAGCCGTCCGGATCCGCGAGAAGAAATCCCACCACGCCTCCGCCCCACCAGTGGCCTCCATCACCGCCGTCTCGGCCGGCCCGCCCAAAGCCCAAGATATCCTGCGCACCGCCATGGCCATGGGCGCCGACAAAGGCATCCACGTCGTCGTCGAGGAAAAAGACGCGCTCGAACCCCTCGGCGTGGCCAAGATGCTCGCCAAACTCGTCGCCACCGAAAAATCCAATCTCGTCATCCTAGGCAAACAGAGCATCGACGACGACGCAGGCCAGACGGGCCAAATGCTCGCAGGACTGTTGAACTGGCCACAGGCTACACAGGCGTCCAAAGTCACGATTACCGGGGACGGCGGCGCGGACGCTGCGTCTGTCGAGGTGGTGCAGGAGGTGGATGGCGGGGTGCAGACGATTCGCGCAAAGCTGCCCATGGTGATTACGACGGATCTGCGCCTCAATGAGCCGCGCTATGCCAGTCTGCCGAATATCATGAAGGCGAAGAAGAAGCCGCTGGAGAAGATGACGCTCGAGGATTTGGGCTTGTCCGGGGCCGCGGCCGCGCTGCGGCTCAAGACGGTCAAGGTGTCTGAGCCGCCGGCGCGCAAGGGTGGCGTCAAGGTCGAGGATGTGGATGGCATGATTGCTAAGCTTAAGGATTTGGGCGCTTTGTAAGGGGGCTCTGGGTTCGGTGGGATAAGGCGTGGTTGGTGGAAAATGGAAGTGGAAATAGAAAAGGAAATGTAAAATAGTACCACTTTTCGGGTACTGGCTTCTCTCTACTATTTTCATTAGAGGAATTGGCACACCGCCCTTTCATTGTCTTGTCTTGTTCTTGTCCGTGTTTATCTCGTCGCTGTGTTGTTGCTTTCCTCTGTCTCTCCTCTTTTCCCCGCATAAATCACACTCATCCTCAACAATGGCCACTCCAACTTCGTCCAACATCATATATACATTTTCCCGACCGTTCGAAGAGTAATACAGATCCACGCGGAGTCGGAACAGATGCAATAAAGCAAAGCTTGGTCCATTATAAAAGTCATCATGATACAATGTTATCATAGTTTTATGCAAAGATATTTCATACACAGGAATATGGTGATGGCGATGATGACTATTCTGAATGTAACCACCATAGCCTAAAATTTATACACAACCTAAAATGTCCACGAATATCTCTGGGATTACATGTTTGCGTGAGATAAACTTCAATGGCGGAGGATAGAGCATCTGTAGTATCGTTGGACTAGCATTGGTTACTACATACCCACTACATACACACTACACTTCACTACCACCACCACCATCTCACAAACCCTAACTCTCAATCCACTACAACATCCACAAAACTTACGGACTACACATCCGCCCTCCTCACAATCGACACATCACGGGCCATGGTCAATCGGCTAGACCTTGCCATTCCTGCGGCGCAAAAAGCGGAGATTAGGATCGTGAGATTGGTTGTTGAATTGGAGGGGTTGATAGAGGAATTTCTACACAGGAAGCCTGCATCGTCGTGAAGGCCGTTCGAGTTGGCGGCTACTACTACTATTGAGGATGGCAATTGTGCCATCTCAGTTGGGCCGACAGGACAGCAGCATGCAGTAAACACAGCCATGGCTTCGACGAGGGTAAAAATAGCGGCATAGGGTCTGGAGCCGAAATGGAAGCCGTAATGCTATCGGATGGCACAATAGTCGATGCCGGAACAGTGTTCATGCGGGCATCTTGGTACGCAGCGTGTCAAGTCGCCTCTGCGCCTGTCGTACAATTTGCGGCCATGCTTCAACCTGTGCAGCCGAATGTGGTTGCTCCAATATACGTCTGAAATGCTCAGTGGCACCTTGATAGTCTCCCACGGACTCGCAGTAATCAGCCAACTGCAGTGCAGCAGGCTTGTGGCCTAGGTTAGAAGCAACCTGAAGCCACTCCCGTGCCAGCATACCCGCATCATCAGGCCTCCACTTCAAGAGCCAGTTGAGCGCCTTTCGCATCCCGCTAGACTTCAGTATAGGCTGTGGGTCTTTGCTGAGCTCCTGGTAAAACTCGGCCAAGTCGAAGCTTGCTTGTGCGTGGCCTGATGCTGCCGCTTTGCTGGTCCATTTGAGCCAATCGGGGCTTGTTCTCGTCTCATATTTGGCTACTTCGTAGCACGACAATGGGTCATCGGCTTCTTTTGCACCAAGCAAAAAGTATGTCTTGGCTTGTGCTTGCACGGTCGGATCTTTGTTTGATGCTAGGAGATAGCCGAGTGCATTCCATGGCGCGATGAGCGGCAGTAACAATGGATTTTTGGCACCAACACCAGGTTGGAGATGAGATCGTTTAATCGCGAGCTGAAATGCCTCTTTTGCTTTTTCCGTCTGTCCTCGCTTTTCAAGAAACAGCCCCTTTAGGGTCAGGCAGTCTGGACCAAGCGCAATCTTTTCCGATTTTGAGCATAGGTCTTCTAGCGTGGAGTGATATTTGGCAATCTCGCTCTCTGGGAACAAGAGGGCTATTTCATGGGCTGTTGCATGAGAAGTTGCCATGTTCAAGTAAATGGCGGAGAGGATATGAACAATGGCCAGCGGGTCAGCATTGTGCGCGCATCCCTGGAGCATGAGGCCGGCCATTGGCTTGTGCTTGCTGGGCGGGAGCTGCCTTTTCTTTTCAGGATCACTGAGGTCTGGTATCATGTATGTGGCCAAAGCAAGGTCGGCAACATCTTCAATCGTACAATTGTATTCTACCAAAGTCAGTATCGAGATTGAGGAGGTGAATCCAGGCTTCATACTCTTGGAAAGTCGCAGGACATTGCTCTTATGATCAATCCTGCTTTTGTGAGCCACAAAGTCGTTGTATATCGCGTTTGCTTTGTCGGCCTCCATCTTGAGTGAGGCTTGAATCTTGCTCAGTTTGTAAAAACCATAGCGGCTACGTTCATCTACATCAGCACGCAGTCTCACCACATCGAGCCTCTGTGTGGCATAAGACCGTCTCCAGATAGTCGTTTTGCATGGCCAATGTTTGCGTTGGGTTGACGACGAGGAGACTTGGTTTCCACCGTTGCAGGGCACAAGTTGGATGCGAGTGGATGCTATACATGATGGGCATGGCCGAATAATGGCTCTGGTTGTCGTTGAGCGCAGCAAAGAGCGAGAAGCAGACATTGACTGTATGATAGGATAGGATTCTCCAAGGAAACATGATGGCCCCTGCACCCAACATGTCGGTGGAGGCGGAGGTCCGCAAAGCACGCTAAGGCCAATAACGTTAACCCTTTGCGTATCGAAAAATTCCCAAATCGCTGCACAAGTGTCAAAGTCTTCAAATGTTTGGGCGAGTAATCAACACTGCTAAACGAATCCTGAGCCGCTCGCCGTCAATACCGGGCCCTCCAAGTGAAGTCTCAGCGACACCACCCGCGGCGACGGTAACCGACACTCACCAGGCCACCATGGTCACGACACGCGGAGGCGTGGAGACGCCAGGCACATGGACGCCCAAGAGCTCCAACAAGAAGCGAGCCGGAAAGCGCGAACTCGCAGCACTCGAGGTGGTGGAGACGCCCACACAGGCCAAGCGACAGAAAAAGGGTGCGCAGGAATCATCTGAAGACAGCTCGGACACCTTCACTGTCACTGTAGCGCCAACCCCCAGCACGCAAGACGCCGGTCAGACAGCAGCGGAAAAGGGAAAGCTAGCCATTCGCCGTCGGTCGAGTCCCCAAGTTGTCGTTGTCGAGAAGCTCTCCCCACCCGCTTCCACGGCAACGGAAAGCTTTGAACAGGCCACAGAAGACGATGCGCCCAGATCTACACAAAAAAGCGATTTTGATACACCGAGGTTGCGATCAGGCACTGCGCATGGCATACCTGTCACCACCAGCAAGGCATCTCGAGAATCGCCAACACCAAAGGCAGGGGCAGTCAAGACCGTCACTCCAGCATCGGCCAAGAAGCAACGAGGAAGGCCTAGAAAGGCGCAAACGGAGACTGACGGCCATTCCATTGAGCTCACACAAACCACCACCACAGCGGTCGACGAAATACCGTCTTCTACATTCGAAAGCGAACAAGCTCCCATACCCTCCCAAGATGCTTTAGTACCATCGCCCAGGCCCACGAAGGCTCACAAGCGATTTGGCAGCGAGGAGCCAATCGACACGGTCGTCGTCGACACAAAATCAGCTGAGCCTGGGCATCAAGACCAAAAAGACGATGACGACGACTCGGCCAGCGACTCTGACGAAGCCCCCGAACTGGTTACGACCGCTGCTGCAACGTCCAAGGCTCAAGCCGCCCAGGCAGAAGCCTCGCGCGCTCTCGTCGCCCAACAAGAAAAAGAAGCTGCCAAACGAAAAGCGCGTGAAGAGCTCGTGGCTGCCCAGCAAGCTGCCAAACGTGAGCGCGAGGAGAAGAAGGCGAAGAGGTTGGCCCGACAGCAGGCCAAGGAGGCTGCAACATCGGCCCCTGAAAGCCAGCAAGAAGAGCAAGACTCAGTGAATTTTGACATTACTAGAAAAGGACTGCCAGCACTCCTCCCTGATTCTCTCCTCTCCACCTTGTCCGATCAGCGCGCACCCACACCGCCTCCCACACGCGGCGGAAAGAGCGAAGAAGAGTTGCGGAGAGAAAAGTTGAAGCACCACATCAAGTTTCTCGAGAGGACGGAAAAGCCGATCAAAGAGATGAAGAAAGGAAAGTTGAGCGTAGCTGTGTTGGCCCAACACAACAAGGTGCTGCCACCCAAGAAGAATAAGGATACGAGCAACGTCAGGGAGCACTGGTTGAAAAGCCGAGGATTGGAGAAGAAGAAGGGGGCCAAACAAAAGTTCAAGACTGGCAAGGTCGAGAGGAGGAGGGTTGGTAATGGGGGATTCTTGAAAAACGGGGATTAGAGGTCGTGGTTGAGTTGTTCTGAGTCGACTATAGAATACGGAGAGAATCATGGTTGAGTTGTTCTAGGTCGATGACAGGATACCAATAGAGAATTGGTTCTGGCCAAGGAAACTCGTGGACAAACTGATTGACGCTGACGAATATCAATAACCTAGTGTTGTGTCTGACTTGAGAAGCCCGAGGCAAGTTGTCCGCCGAGGTATCGTGCAGTTAGTCACGTTGAACATACTTCAGCGTCAGCCTCTACCCGCGGAGATGAGACGACGAGGCTGACCGCCGCTCGTGCAACTGGTGATGAAACTTCTGTCTGAAACCTTGCTGCATGCGCAGAATGGCTAGAAACTCGGCATCGTTCTTTACAGACATATCCAACAATAATCATGCTTGCTTGGCCGAGAACGCAAGCCTGGAAAATATAAATACAGGTCCCCAACTCCTGCCCAACCGCCATCACGGACGGACTCTGCGATATCGCTGTAAGATGTTCCGTTCGGTGGTTGCGCACGTGCACGCCATCCAGACATGTGTCGGGCGCAATCGGGTCCGGAGAAAAGTCGCGGAAACTATTGCCGGGCGGTGGCCGCGAACGTCATTCTTTCACATGTTCATTCACCTTCACTCTCCAGCAGCCAGGCTTGCGACGGGGCGACGCTGATTTCCAAGTACCATCACATGACCACTCTCCATGATGCCTTTGGATTCTACTAATCTTTTTGAGGGCCATATGCAACAACATCTCAGCATAGCCATGATCATCTCCCCGGCCAGTGAGCAGCGTCTAGGTAAAAAGCTGAAGCGAATGGAGCCATGGCATAACTCCACGGTAGTTAGGAGTAGTAGGACTCGGCAAACACAACTCCTCCACACAACCGACCCCCCGGCCGAACTCGAGCTTCCGCTCGCCCACCAAGGCGAATCTGGGGTAGAGCCGTCCCACTACCCTACCCGCCAAGCGTACACCTGCGCCAGTCCACGCGAGCGAATTCTGGGCCTGCGTGCTCGCATCAAGGGCCGAGGCTGGCGGGACAATTGTTTCTTTGGCACGCGTATATCCGCGGATAGTTTTGAAAGTATGACTGTGTTTTGATTGTGAACTTTCCCTTTTACTTGCTGTCGCTACTTCTCTTCTCTTGCTTCAGTGTACAAGAGCATTCTTTTTTTTTCTCTCGTGCCCTTTATCCTACTTAGGGTGCTAGATATTATTTCCCGTCGTGCCTTTGTTTGTTCCTCATAGCTACCTAGCTCCTGGGATTGAGCAAAGCCGAGGCTCGACAGCTACCTAGCTAGTAGCTATTCCATCCGTACCAGCGAAGCTTCCAAAGACTGGGGGTAAATAAGGTCTTGGGGACGATCCTTCCTCTGTCAACAGCGTCATAATTATCATACGTGGGATTGAACCGAATCTACATTTCAGAGGTTCACAGCATTCGCACTCTGCGACCCTTTTGGCAGACTATACAGCCTGAAGCAGGTTCAGAGACACCACAAGAATCATGTCTGCAAAATCGACACAAGGGCCTGGCGGCAAGAAGCCAGCGTCTGTAGCTACAAACCTGATTGGTGAGTCGCACGGATGAATAGAAAAATGCGCAAAAGACACGACTGCTAACATGGGAGAACAGCTGGTGGAGGTGCTGGCATGATGGAAGCGCTCGTGTGCCATCCTCTAGGTAGGTCATGAATGTCCTAGATACATGCATCCACCGTCTCACTGCTTTCAAGATACAATCAAAGTACGCATGCAATTGTCAAGACGAGCTCGCGCACCCGGGGTATGTCCAATCGAAGCCAGAAATTCGCAGCACATGGGAGAGTCACTGACGACTGGCGCAGGCACCCAAGCGTGGATTCCTCACCACGGGTAAAGAAATTGTCAAGAGGGAGACTGCACTGGGTCTCTACAAAGGTCTTGGTGCTGTGCTTACCGGCATTGTGCCAAAAATGGCAATTCGCTTCACCAGTTACGAAAAGTACAAGCAACTATTGGCAGACAAGGACGGGTTGGTTACTTCAAAATCCACCTTTATGGGTTCGTCTCGGAATGGAGTCGCATTTCCATCACAAACCGCTGACAGTGTGCAGCTGGTCTGGCCGCGGGTATTACAGAAGCTGTCCTTGTAGTTACGCCCATGGAAGTCGTAAAGATTCGCCTGCAAGCCCAACATCACTCCATGGCCGATCCCCTCGATGTCCCCAAATACCGCAATGCCGCCCACGCGCTCTACACTGTGTTGAAAGAAGAGGGTGCCGGTGCTCTATGGCGAGGTGTTTCACTTACGGCACTACGTCAGGGAACCAATCAGGCTGCCAACTTTACTGCCTATTCGGAGCTCCGATCCCAACTACAAAAGTTCCATGGCACAAATGATCTGCCTGGCTATGAGACGAGCATGATTGGATTAATCAGTGGTGCTGTTGGGCCGTTTACCAATGCGCCGATTGATACAATCAAGACGAGGTTACAAAAGACACCTGCGGTGCCAGGACAAAGCGCGCTGCAGAGAATCACAGCCATTGCTGCGTAAGTGGCAAATCCCATCTTGTGTGTTGAACCAAGGCGCGGAGCGCTAACCATGGGCAAACAGCGACATGTGGAAACAAGAAGGAATCCGCAGTTTTTACAAGGGTATCACGCCGCGTGTGATGCGTGTCGCGCCCGGTCAGGCTGTCACGTTTACTGTATACGAGTATTTGAAGGGAGTCTTGGAAAAGGGACGGGATATGATTCCTGGTGGACAGTATGAGGAGTAGTTGGTCAATGGTGGATACTCGTGTGGGGGATGGTTGGGCTTGGCTGTTATGACAACGAATATATGATGCATATCAATGGTGTGGATAGGAATAATGTCAAGGTCTGATCATCATGTTGTGTGAGGGGACAGCACATGCAAATATCATGGAGTAGGAGACGAGAATGAATTGTGACGTTGCGGAGAGCGGGGCGCATGGACAGCCCACCCATTGGAAGTTGCCCCACCATGCCACCACAACCACACAGCCTCGCCCTCAACAGACTTCAGCCGTAAACAACAGCAACAACCAGGAACCAACAATCAAGCAACTCATCACTTGAAATCAAAAGTAGCCTGAGCACGCGAGGACATACTTCCACTGGAAAGATGCAGTCTGGAATCTCTGGTAGATTATATGACTTTCTTTTTCACGAGACAGAAGAAGCAGATGAAGAAGGGATATACATGAAGCAGCTGCTAACACTGGCAAGCTTCGCAAGAGCTCAAGTCGGCTCTCGGCTCCCTCATCACCTCGACCTCGCAACGCGGCCTCCTCGCCACTATCGAAAACGAGGCCATTGTACCGGCTGGAACCATTCCAGCGTCTTCGACCTTTACCTCTGATCTCTCCGCACTCCAAGCCCACCTCCAACCCAATGCCGCCCTCTACATTCTCCTCCGCCGCGCAGATTCCCTCTCTTCTTCAGACAAGAGTCTGGTAGCCGTGACCTATGTCCCCAATGCTGCGCACGTTCGCCAGAAAATGCTCTTTGCGTCCACACGCCTCACACTGGTCCGCGAACTTGGTGGAGAACACTTTGCAGAGAGCGTCTTCACCACAGAAGCCTCTGAGCTTACAAGCGAAGGCTGGGAAAAGCATGTCAAGCACGAAGAACTCGCCAATCCATTGACGGCCGAGGAGCAGAGTCTGCAGGATATCAAGGAGGCAGAGGCACTGGAGAGCAGAGGTACACGGGGCCAGGGTCTCGCACAAGCAAGTAAGCTTGCACTCCGTAGCGATGCGGCCGTGAGTGATGCTCTCAAAGCATTGGGCCAAGGTACAGGACACAACTTTGTACAGCTACGCATGGATCCCACCACCGAGACGCTCACTCTCGTCTCGAGCACGACTGCAACCCCCTCATCCCTAGCGTCGGCGATTGACGGTCAAGAACCACGTTACGCCTTTTACCGCCACAATGACGCGGCTTCATCCATTGTCTTCATATCGACGTGTCCAAGTGGTGCCAAGATCAGGGAGCGCATGATTTATGCGGCGAGTCGGGGGAACGTGGTTAGTCTTGCGCAACAGGAGGGCGGGCTGACGGTGGTGAAGAAGTTGGAGGCGACGAACCCAGATGAGGTTACCGAGGAGATTGTATTGGAGGAATTCAAAGTCGAGGACAAGGCGGAGAGCAAGGGGTTTGCAAAGCCAAAGAGGCCGGGAAGGAGGTAGGTAGGGCCTGTGAGGTGACGACAGTGGTTGATTGAGGATGAAGAAAAAAATAAAAAATCGATCACAGTACCGTACCTCCACCATCTACAATGAGTACATGAACTACGAATGCTACAAACCAGACTCTACAAGTCCTGTCCAAGTCAAGTTGCTGATTTGTTCTGCGTGGAGACGGCGCAAGGAGAATGGGGGTCGTTGTGCGGGGAAGAAAGCGAGGTGATTGGCCAGACGCTCATGTCACCGCACTGGCACGCGTCGACCGACACGACTCCAGCATCCCTTGACCCCACCTTTCGCGTCCCAGCGTCCCAATGCGGGGTGAAGAATAAGTCATCTTTCCACATGGACTTCGTCTGTATTCCCCTTCTTGTCGAGACACAGACAACATGCACACATCAACGGTACTAACAAGTCCCTAGTGGGTAAGGCTGCTCGGCGGGTCATCCCAGAAGAAGCGTGCCGCTCCAAACAACCCACAGCAGCGTCTGGCACGCTTCCGGCAGCAATACAACCAAATCCTGGTACACAACTCCCTCACACACACCCGTCCAATCTCCTTGTAGATACCCTCCCATGCTAAGACACGACGACGACAGCAAACATGGCAAAAGTCGACCAATCTGGCCCACGACCGCGAGGCCCTGACCAACATCCGCCGCAGCTTCCAGGCCCTCAGCTCCATCCTCAACGATGAATCCCGCTCTCCAGCTCCCCACATGTGTCTGCAGTTCGCTGCTGCCCAGCAAATATACACGGCCGTGTCCAAGATAGCCGCAACTTCGCACGACGAGGGGGTAGTCCGCGATGCTGTTGCCTTTTACAATGCCCTCATCGACAGCGAAGAGGAGGACTTCCTCGAAAACGACGTCTTCGCCGTCTCCCTCATGAACTTCATCGACCGCACCGTTGGCTCGGGCAGCATGGGTGTGGGCGAGGATATCGAGGCCGATATCGTGGAATTGCTGTTTGGCATCGCAGCAAAGATTCGCTTGCAGCCAGAGATTCTGCCCGTCTGGTTCACCACCTCTGCGCCGGCAGATGCAAAAGCGAGAGTGGTGAATCAAAAGGTCGACTTTGCGGGTGTGACGCAAAAGGAGGATTTCCCGCTGTGTTATCAGCTCATCGATCATGTGCATCACGAAGGTAGGATTGGGGATTTTGCGCGAACCGGTCTGCTGTACATTTTCGAGAGTGCAAGTCGGTCGATTACATTGGAGCAGTGGATTGTCAATAGCGATTTGCCGACACTCATGGCGACGGGGCTGGGTGCATTGTATAGTCAGATGAGTCGGTGGGCTCCCCTTTCTTTTCCCTTTCTTTTTTATGATCTTCGTCTTGACTTGTTTTGCTAACCATGGCCAGAAAACTCTCGATCCAACATCCCGCCGAAGACATGCCACTTGTCCTGTCGCTGTCAGACTATGCAGACTTGCCACCAAATCCACAAGCAGAAAACTTCTTTGGTGCCGACTTTCAAAATCACCTGTCGACCTTCTTGTCGTACCTCACGTTTTGGCAGGATGTGCTCGAACACTGTCGGTCAATTGATGTCAGACACACACTGATAGATCACTTTCAGATTTTGTTTCTGCAACAACTCTTGTTCGTATTGATGCTGGTTCACAATAAGATTGTCATGCTGACGTTGACAGATACCCATCGTTACTAGAATCGTCAGACGCCGACGGTGGTTCATCCGTCGCTGTACTAACGTACCTTCGACACATTTTGGATGCTCTTGACCACCCAGAGCTTGTGCACATGATTTTGCAATATCTACTCGCACTGCTCGATTATACTACGGGTACTTCGAGAGAGCCGCGATCACCAGCTGCAATCAAGAAGAGGCAGTCTTTGATACTACTAAATAGTGCCAAGGAGGACGAGGACCGGCTGAATCCGTCCCTCTTCAATTTGGTGGACCTGATTTTGGGCAGCACTTCTTCGACGAGTCCACAGACTATCACGGCGGCTTTAAAATTAACAACCGTCATACTCGGCAAGAACCATGCATATGCCCTAGGCTCCTTGGTCAAGGTAATGAATATTCACCGAACAGAGCCACACAGAACCGCTGGTGCACTAAACAAGGAACTCGAAACGTACCTGAACCTTGGTATTTCCCTTGCCGGTCTAGAAGGCGTTGACGAAGCTTATGAAAACTATCTCAAAGATGTCCTAAGCTTACTAGAAAGCCATCCTTGCTCCCTCAACACCATATCCCTACCCGGCGCCTCATCCAAGAATCAAAGCTACTTTGACTCTAGCGAAGTGCCCACAAGAGATGTGGATCCCCACTACCTCCTCCCCGAAGATCCTCTCTTTCAAACTCTCACCGACCTCCTCCTCACCTTTCTTACAAACGACATCGAAACCAATCTTGCCCTCACCGAAGCCATCGTCAGCCTTGGAACATGTTCTCAACTCTGCCTCGAAGGCTGGCTCTGCGTCGACCCGGCAGACTACCACTTCGACGCCAACTCCCCAGAGCCCCCATTCTTGTCCAATGAAAATCTACGAAACATGTACCTGGCCGAACGCGCGCCATCGTGGTCTCCCTCGGCAACACCACAACTCCTAAGCTGTCTGACTGAATTGCAACGGCAAATCGAGGCCCTACGAGCAGATATCCCAGACTGGGACGAACATGTTGCCAGCCGCAAAACTGCGTTTCGACTTCACGAGAAAATGCTAGAGGAAATCAAGAGCGGTAAACTTCGACGGACGTCAGAATCCATCATTGGCAACATTCCGGGGGGTTGGGCACCGCAGATTCCGCATCATGTTAGGGGTGGGGAGGGTGGTGTTGTGGGTTCGAGGGCGCAGAGTCCAAGGGGCAGAAAGGAGGCGTTGAGTGAGAGGCGGAATTCGCCGGGGATGAGTGGGGAGAGGGGTAGCTCGCGATTTGGTGGCTCCGGAACGATGACGACGACGGCGATGGGGAGTCCAGGCCGTGGTGTTTCGCCCGGCACGCTTGGAACGCAGGGCTCCCAAAGGGGTGGTGGCGGTGTACTGGAAGACATCGATGCCAATCTCAAAGGCCTAAAGGACGCGGTGCTCATGAAGCGCCGGATCCGCTTTCGCCGTGTCAAGGGCGAAAACAAGGTCGAGGTGCTATTGTCGAAATATCAACCCCCGCCCAAGGACCGGGATGCTCCGTCTCACCCAAAGCCCAAGTCGGAAGCCCAGGGCTCGGGTGATTCGACGGCAGCGACAGAGACCGGCGGGCAGGGAGACGGTGCAGTAGTAGCAGAGTCCGGGGAGCAGCGAAGTAAACAAGACGAGGAGGCTCAGCGTGGGCATGTCCATGACAACAACGACGACGACGAAGCCGACTACGACGACGCAGACACCCAGGAAGCAAGCCTCATGCACATCATTACCAATGTCGTCGTTTTGCAGGACTTTGTGCTCGAACTTGTGGCCCTGGTGCAGGTTCGTGCGAGTTTGTTTGGTGAGGTACGGTTTGCGTAGGATGGTTGTAGGGTGGGATGGGTAGAATGAGATTGAGATGGGGATGCAAGGACTTGGGGATATGTATCTGTTGTGTGTCTGTGTCTGTGTCTGTGTCTTGATACCTAGTGTATGGATTCACTTTGTAATCGCCAGAGCGAGGGGGAACTAGAAGGGAAGGAGGGGGAGTGATATGATTTTAGTGTTGATGATATCGTAACGTTGTATAAATCTTAACATGGTAAAAATCTCTCAAGATTAAAAAATCTTCACCCATCTACCATGACAAGTTTATAAAAACAAGACAAAAACAGACTCGGCCGTTTCCTGGAAATCAGAACAAAATCAGGTCCCCAAACCCATCCTCCTCAACCTCTCCTCCGCCGCCCTCGCCCTCCGCTCCCTCTCCATTCTCGCCCTCGCCTCCCCGCTCAACCCCCTAGCCTCTTCCTCCCTAATCTCTGCCGCACTCTTCCCAACACCCAATGCCCTCCCCTTGCCCATCCTCCCCTCCCTTGCCCTCTCCTCCACCCTCTCACTCTCCCTCCTCACCCGTTCCGTCTCTGCCTTTTTGCGCTCCGCCTCCGCCTTCTCCGCCGCCGCCTTCTCCGCCTTGTCCCGCTCACTGAGCTGCGCGGCCTCGGCGGGCGACAGCGGCGCCGGCACGCCGGCACTATCCCACGCCCATGCTGCTTCGCCGAGGGTGTGGCGAGCGGTGCGGAAGGCATCGCGGGTGGGGCGGTCGCGGGCCAGGGCAAACGGGGTGCGGGCGTCGACGTTGAGTAGGGTGGGGTCGGTGCGGGCTTTTGTGAGGAGCGCGGATACGACGGCGGCGGCGGCGAGGGAGGCGGCGAGGTGTAGAGGGGTAGGGGTGTGGGGGTTTGGGGGTAAGAAGGTGAAGGTTGCGGGTATGGAGTTTGATTCGAGGTAGGAGAGAAGGGCGGGGATTTTGGAGCGTTTAATCAAGGGGATGATTTGCGAGGTGTGGAGTTGGGCAAGTTCTTCTTCTTTTGTGGGTTTGGCAGGTTTGGGCTTGGAGGGGGTGGGTGCCGGTGTGGTGGTGGTGCTTGGGGGGGGGTCGAGGGCGGCTAGGGCGGCTGCGTCGATGGTGCTTTGTTTTACGCGCGTGAGTTCGATAAAGGCGCGCATGAGTTCCTTTTGGGTTGCGCGACGCGTGCTGAATGGGAAACCGCGGTTTCGTGGGTCATTGCTGCGGAGGACTTGCCCTTCATAGGGACCGAAGAGGGTACGTCGATTTGTGGCGCCGGTTGCGCGCACGAAGATGAGGTCCGCGGTGTCGATGAGGCTCTTCCAACTCGCCAAAAGCTCACGGACCTCATTTACCAGTGCGGTCTCGTTGTATCTTCGTATCGAGGAACCAGCTGAGTGTGCATTGCCCTTTGCATTGTCATTCGCCGATTGCGATCCACCCTGTTTCCGGCGAGTGGTATATCGATGGAAAGTCTTGTGGGCTAGGACAGTCGCCGAACGCTCATCAGCTCCCGTATGCTTTTTACCCGTCTTTGGAGCGAGGGCTACAATCATGGCGGCGAAATGGCCACCACCAATCATGCAGAGAAAATAGTGCGGCCCAACGTCTGTAGTAGGTAGAGGTACGCCGCCCTCGTTTGCTTTGATCCTAGGGGCTTGTTTGGGGGATAGTTGCTTCTTGCGTAGAACATCAAGGGCGTGCGCTTCATCCTCTTGCTCTTCATTTGAGAATATAGCCCGGTAGATGCCGAGCGACATATTTTCAGGTATGGCAGGTGAAGAGAACCACAGTAAAGGCGGCTTTCCTGGTCCTCGCTGTTTCCTTCTTGATGCAAAGTCGTCAAACTCTGGATCTGAAATCTTGGCCTGTTTCTTCAGTAGGGCGCTCAGTGTGGAATCTTTGGACTTGCTCCCATCTTCGTCCTCGTCCTCATCCGACTCATCCGACTCGGATCCAGAGATGCTCTCGTCGAGTTCGCCAATCAGCTTCTCAAACTCGGCTTCTCCAACTGGGGTTGCACCCTTGATCTTTTGCTTCAGGTTATACCCATGTAAGTCTGATCGCACATGACTCCGTTGGTCTTCTAATGATGTGAAGCCGAGGCCACATAAATGGCACGATGTCGCCTTGGCCGGTCCTTCGTGCCCCTCGCTCTTTTCAGACGCATCCTTTATCGGCTCTCGCGCTTGTGGCGGCGTTTCTTGGGGTATGCGATCAGATTGGTCCTTCAGCGTGAGTGTCGCAAGAAGCTCTTCGGGTAGATCGAATACTGGTCTTGTTAGTAGAGGGAAATGAATTTTGAGATTAGTTTCGTACCGTAGAGTGGGCGCTGGAGTAGGTGCTCTCCTTTTTGAGCCATAATTGTGTCCTGGCGAAGCGTGAGCCGGAACAGGTCGTTCAAATGTTGGCGGGGCGATGGAAGTTGTCGAAGATGACGTGCATTGCAGAGGCCCTTTTACGAGTCATGTTCGCCAAGCCTCGTCGCGAGCGCGGTCGTGCCCACTCTGGTCCTTCACTTTTCCTTGTGAGCAGGTACTATGTCACCAGGGCAAACCCATCTCAGACTGTCACTCGAGATGCAAATCAGACATTGGTATGCATACGAATGCCATCACCCATGGAAGGAGTTGAGTTGAACAGTTGAACGACTTGGATGAGCCAGGCTGGCATCAACCCAGTCCACCTTCAAGTCGACAACCGCGCAGACTCAAGATCCATCAAATGCAAAGGCGTATTTAGCGGAGTATATGGCGGCCGTGTCATGGTAGCACCTTGTAAGCCTCTATTGACAACATCCAGACTGTGATCTTCCACGCTGAACATAGCCGGATCATCAGCATAATGCTTCAGCACCTCCAGGATCTAACGCACAGTCATACCGGTACGGTACATTCGATCAGGATCTCGTCTCCGCTAGCCTATCTCATCCACAGCTATCACAATCACATGTATTACAACGGTCACCCCTCCTACCAAAACGACCCTACTTCCCTCCATTCCCCAACCCTACTTAAAACCCCCTACACCCATCCCCCTGATCCACACGAACAACATACATCCCCCTCGCCTCCTTTGCCTCCGGATCCCTCTCACGATCCCAACCTAGTCACGCCCCCTCCGTCCACACACGCCGCACTCCATCTGCCCCCACCGCACTCTTCCCAAAGAACCCCTTGCTTGCCACCGTCCGGAGCCCCATCTCCACGCTGGCAGCGCCGAGGCGCCGCATGGCGTCGGGTTTGTTGTGGAAGTTGTGTTGGCGGGTGGTGAGCCAGCGGGTTTGTGGGGGGAGGGAGGTGCAGGAGGGGTCTTTGATTACGGGTGTGAGGGTCCAGGCGGGGGTTGTGGACATGTTGGGGAGTATGGGTGGTGTTGTTGGTGTTGTATGTGTAGGTGGGAAAGAAAAACGTCTAGAGCACTTTGGTAGGGAGAATTTAGGTGTGCAGATGGCGTTCGATATATTAAAGGAACCATTGATATTTATATAACCCTTGTGACATATCTATGAGTCCTAGACTGGGTCAAGACACCAAGACTCATGTTCCAGAATACAACTCACACTCACTGTGAATCTAAAACCCCACAGTCACGAAGCACCGGAGTCCATACCCAACATTCCGCAAGGGGCCTACTCTGATGCAAAACTGCCATTCGATTTAGTCTTGGACATGTTTTCTTTGTTTCGTTATATTCGTAGACAAGGTCTTTATTTGTTACATATATACGGTTGTTACGGCATCGAAGACTGCGCCTCCAGGCGTGAATCATCTGATTAAATAAGAGCCTCACCCCTAAACATAGCCTCGCGAACCTCTCTAACAACGTCAGCGCGATCGCCCGGCCCAAGAAGGACGATACCCCGCCCACGTCGGCCCATGCGTCCGGTACGCCCGAGACGATGGATGAAGTCGATAGTCGTATGTGGTACGTCGTACAAGATAACGTGGCGCACAGACACGGTATCGATACCTCGCGAGCCCAGATCTGTGGTGACGATGACCTTGGTGTTGGGTAGAGTGCGCTTGCCTGCTGTTTCTGGCTTTGCGGGCCAGGCTGAGTCGGCATCCTTGGTGGATCCAGAGCTTGTGAAGGATGCTAGCTTCTGGACCTCGCGACTTTCTCGATGGAATGCCATTGCATCAACGCCCTTCCTGACGAGATAGTCTGCAACTTGCTCGGTGTCTTCGCGATCGTTGACGAAGACGAGGATGCGTTTTGTTGGGATAGCCTCTTTGCCTTCTTCTGGATGGTATTCGCCAGAAGACTTTCCGATCTGCCAGATGGTGTCGGCACAGGCGAGCATCTTGTTGCCATGGTAGGGGTCCTTGTTTACATCCACGACACCGAGTTGTACGCGGCGGGGCACAGCGTGAAGGTTGGGAGTGACTAGGCGGTGCATGTCGGGGTACTTGTCGGCGAGATATTTGTCCAGGTACTTTGGAATGGTGGCAGAGCAGAGAATCAGCTTCTTGAGTGAGGGGTTGGCGCGCTCAAGAATCTCGTTTACGCTGGGCTTGAAGGAGCGGTCAAAGAGCGAGTCTGCTTCGTCGCAAATCACGTGGGTTACGCGGGCGAGGATGTTGGGGTTGCTTTGTACGATACTGATAAGTAGCATTGGCGTGCTAATCACTACATCTACACCGTTGGGATTGAAGAGCTGGTTGCGAATGACGGTCGCAGACATCTTTGCAGAAATGGGGGCCGCGCGAAACTTGACAATATGCGAGAGAGATTTTGCGACAGCGCCCACTTGAGTTACGAGTTCGGCGGAGGGGACGAGGATAATGGCACGGGGACGGGCTGGGTCGACCGCTTTGTTGACTTCGGGCTCTGGGGCAGCAAACATGTCATTTCGCTTTTCAATTGGGTTGGCAACGGCTTCTTTGGCCTCTTCGGCCTCTCTGGCGGCTTGAGCCTCTGCAGCTTCCCTCTCTTGTAATTCTTCGGCTTTGATGGCGTCGAGAGTCGGGAGGAGATAGGCGAGCGTCTTGCCCGAGCCCGTCTCTGCTGCCAGCAAAAACGTCTCTGGCCCTGCACTCTTCGACCTAGCCTTTGTACGGACATTCTTGGAGAGTCCGAGGAGAGCTGGGATGGCAACGGCCTGTGCGGGCGTGGGATTGCGGTATTCGAGGTCTGGGAGCGCATCATTGACGGCTCGTAGTATAGGTTCAGCAAGAGGGAACTTGTCAAACGAGTCGTACTGTTCGACCTGGCGCTTTACTGCGGTTCGGTTGCTGTAGGGTACCTGGTGGAGGGAGCTTTGCATCTTCAGTGCATGGAACGGCTCTGATCTGGTCCTTCTCTTGTCGCCATCCCGACCCGTTGCGGGCCGACTCCCTCGCGCCTCTCTCTGCTCCCGTATCCTCTCCAGCCCGCGAGGCACCTCGGTGCGATTCAAGAAGCCAAAAGCGTCTTGCTTTGATCTGGCAGTTCGGTCATTGGATCGTGGAGATTGGGCCACCGTGTCGGAGAGCACCATGCGAGAAGGCCTGGGCGCATCGCGACCTCTGGATGGCCTTGGTGGTCCAGGTCTGGAGAAGCGAGAGGGTGCACCATGGCGACTTGCTCTTTCATGCAGATTGTCTCTGACGCCCTCATTTCGACCTTCTCGTTGACGTTCGCGCTGGACCTGGGTATATAGGCGAATTTGCTGCTGGCTGCTGCTGCTGCTGTTGCTGTGGGAAGAGAGACGCAGGGGTGCCGTTGGCAGCTCTCCCAACAGTGACCGCACCTCACAAAAGACGCAAGGTCGCGGTAGGCGACGCAGCATAATAGGGCAGAGGGTGTGTGGTTATCACTTTTGTGTGTGTTTGAGAGAGAGAGAGACAGAGACAGAGACAGAAATAAATTTGGCCATGTGACGTCGCTCCAAGATTTCTGGCGCTACCCAAGAGGCGCGGGTCGGGCTAAGGCTAAAATGGGCACCGACCACATTCGGCAAGTGCGCGGGTCGCAGCTGGCCATCACTGCGACAACCGAATCCTTGGCATAAACAACCCAGCTGGTCAACCCGCATCCCGGCTCTGTTTGGCCTTGATAGCGCCCGTCGCCAAACCATATCAACCCGCGCGCATCTGCATCTTCTCCCACTTTCTCCATCGATCGCACAATAGCGCCTGCGCGTGGTAGATGCCATTCACTTTTCATTTCCATCTTTTAATCAGTGCGCGCATCCGTTAAGTTTACCAGCCCTGCCCTGTGCAAATCACTTCACAGTACTACTCCTCGAGGGAGCCCTTCATTCTTCGCAAACATTCCACCACAACGCACACTGCTGTGCCGCATCGACAACAAAGAACCTCGCCTTACAGCCAGTCAGCATGTCGCGCAACGAAGCGGTAAGTCCCCAAGCACAACACTGCCAGTTGACTATTCTCGCGATATGCGTGCTCATCATGGCAACCGCAGGTCTCGCCGCTGCGCATCAATAAGACGCCGACTGCCTCTCCCACAAAGGGCAGCGGCCGTCCACTCTCCGAGATTGGCCCTACTGAGCAGAGGAGGAACTCCCCCAGCTGGAACCAGTCAACAAAGGTATTTATTCTATAGCCTCTGCTGACCTGGCTCAGGCTGCATTCCTTCCATGCAGCAGCCCCGACTAACGTGGCCCAGAAGCCTTACCTCGTCAAGGAAAGCTCACCCTTTAGAGACTCCTCGCCCTTTACCAACAGCCCACGCTTGTTTTGGAAAGAACAGACCGTCTCCCCCAAGAGCCGCTTTGAGTCGTCGGAAAACGAGCATGAAGGCAGCTCGCCAACCGTGCTCTCCCCCAAGCGCAACTCGATTGAAAACCTGAAGAAGCAGTCCCGTGTCAAGAATAGCAACATGTTTGCCCGTGAGCAAAAGTACGAGTACGATCCTGCCGCAGTACAGCCACTGGACCGGCCCCTCGCAACCGGACGGCCTCTGAGCACTGCCATTCAGGGCAATGCCTATGGTGGAAACGGTCTCAATGGCCTAAGGCTTGAGACCGAGGGCGCCTTGGCTCACCGCCACCGCGAGAGCCTGAGCAAGATTCCCACCCTCAGCCCCTCCAAACAATCTCCAACAAAGCCTCACTTGTCCTCTCCATTCTCTTCACCCTCCAAGGATAAGCCTTCGCCACCCGATGCCCGAGCTTCTCCGACCAAATCTTCCCTCGTTAGCAACGGACGCTTCAATTCGCCCCACTACAACCCTGACGAGAGCGTCCTGACGGATGACGACGAGCTAAAGCATCAGACACCGCGCCCATTGCGCCGTCATGCTAAGAGTGTGACTTTCGACACGGCTCCACCCCTGGTCACCGAGTTCGAAATGGTCACACCCGATCCTTCTGTCGCTTCAGTCTCCCGAGAAGGCAGCTACGAGTCGGAAACAGAGACGGAGGATGAGATGAGCTTTGATCAAGACGACAGCTTTGATGCTTCGCTTGAGGACACCGACAAGACACCCGTTGTTTTGCCAGAGGATTGGCGACACATGAGCCCCGATGCTGCAAACACCTCGTTGACAGATGAATACGACGACGTCTTTGACCAGCCCGAGAGCAGCCCTGCGCCAAGTGCGCGTACCAATGGCGCAGTGGGTGATGCTCGTCGAGGCTCCACCCAGTCTGATGGTGAATCCAGGCCTCTACCACCTCTTCCTGGTGTGCAGTTGCCCGAGCGACGACGCGATTCTAGCATTGGACTCTCGGCGGCAGCTGAGCGCGTAAGTGACGCTCGCAGAAATCTTCCTCCGCCACCCAAGGCCGCAGGCATCTCCAAGGCCGACTTGCTCAACTTTCGTGAAAGCTCCATGTCGCTGGAAGATCGATTACGACTAATGAATTTTGACGACAATCGTACCAACACCAGTACGCCTACACAAGAGACGCATGATCAGAAAAAGGTAGAGGAGGGCGTAGAGGTCCACGTCGATGAGATCGAGGTTACGGAAACCGAGGTTGCAGTCGATGAGCAAAAGACCCCACGCATCTCCAGAGAATCCATTCTTCGAAGGGTCAAGAGCCGCACCTTTGACGAATATGAGGAAGGTGACAGCTACGAGTACGATGCAGAGTATAGTCCAGAACGCAGCTATGGTGACCTTGCCGATTTGGACCCCGATGTTGCCATTCCTTCTCGAGAGGCATCGTCCAATTTCGATGAGGTTCCCGGACAGCTCTCTGCTGTGCCTGAGAGCGAGGCTGACAGCGTCCTTGATGCGTATAGCTATGGCGACGTGACCGACGTGGATGGTGTTGACATGGGGGAAGCCGATGCCACGGAACTGTCCGTGCTCGACGAATATGAGCGTGAGTCTTCGGTCATTCGTCATCCTGTAAAACAGGAACTAGTAGATGATGACGAAAGTCGGTACTCTACATCGCCATCTCCACACCCTGAGGAGCAGCCTACCTCCCAGAGCACCATTGACTCGTCTGGTCCACCCACCCCCACTCCCGCAAGCACGTCTCCCGCTCCAGAGGAAAAACCTGCTCGTGAGGATGAGCTCTTTTCGTCTTTTGATGCCAAGCAAGACGTGGATCTGGACGTGGACCCCGTCAAGTGTTCCTTGACAACCGCCCCAAGCCCAATGGATACGGCACCCAGAATAGATGCGATGCGCGACTTCCTACGCCGTCCAGCTACACCCGAACAAGATTCTGTCCATGATCCCGAAGCTGATGAGGAACCTGGAACACCTGACTCTGTGATTCGTCACCCAGTGGCCATGTCCCCGCCACCCCAGGAAGACTCTCCAGAGATTCCACAACGTGAAGCCACCATTCGGGGCGCAGGTGGCAAGCTAAAGACCCGACCATCACTGATACCAGATGAGGTTGACATGGCAGCCACTCGTCGCATAGTGAGCGGCACCCATGCTCCACCCGTTCCCGAACGAAGCCCCAAGCGCCAGTCGCTTGTGCTCGAGATGGGTCATGTAGAAGATGAGGATTCCCAAATTAGCATCTCCAACAAGGAGAACCGTATGCTTGACCTTAGCCTTGGTGATTTGAACCTTGGAGAAGAGTCGCACGATCTCAGCTTTGGTCTAGATCGAGAGTTTGATCACATTATTGCAACGCAAAAGGTACCTGACCTTTTTCCTTTACCCTCGTTTGCCCGTTTCTCCATGTCCAAGGCTACGGTACATGATCCGCAAAGCCAGATTTCCAATACAGGATTTCTCTATGCACAGACTGTCGCTAACGAACGCCCCCGCGAACAGAAGGGATACCTAATGCGCGAGAATACTAAGATGGTAGTCGCCAGCAGTCGCCATTTTAGCGACGAGAAGCGTCCCATGAGTGCTGATGGTGTGATTGAAAACACGAGCAAGGCAAATCAACGCAAGTCGAGCGCAGAGCGCAAGCCTGCTTGGACCAAAGAACCGTGGAATGGCAAGCCCCGTCGAAAGAGCATTCGAACGGCGTCTGGTCGCCGTACGCGTACGTCACTGGACCCTGCGCCTCCTCTGCCTGGCCAAGACTCTGCAGTGGCTGCCGGTCTAGACTCTGTTGCCGAGCAAGGCGACGAGGAGTTTGAGGATGGCGAGGAAAGAGGAAGGGTTTTTGTAAAGGTCGTAGGTGTTAAGGACCTCGACTTGCCATTGCCAAAGAGTACGCTCTTCCCCTGGTTCAACGTCCTGTCGTATGCTAACAATCTCTTTAGACGAACGCACTCAATTTCAACTTACACTGGATAATGGACTACATTGCGTGACAACTGCGTGGCTGGAACTCGGAAAGTCTGCTCCCATTGGGCAGGAGTTTGAGCTAGTCGTTTTGGATGACCTCGAGTTCCAGCTCACTCTCCAGACCAAGCTTGAACCTCCGCCAGTGCCACAGATTACAGCTGCACCTGTCAAGGCTGTGAATCACAAAAAGTCCCAGTCTGCTTTCCGCAACCTTTTGTCTTCGCCCAAAAAGCGCCGGGAGCAGGAGCGCAAGGCACAGGAAGAGGCTGAACGCCTTGCCCTTCAGGAGCAACAAGAGGCCCAGGCTGCTTTGAAACGCAATCAGCAAGCCACCGCTTGGGACCTTTTGCACGACTTGGTTGGAGAAGATGGGTCTTTTGGTCGCGCATACGTGTGCCTAAACAACTATGAGGCTCAAGCCTATGGTCGCCCATATACTGTGGATGTTCCTTGCTTCAACGAATGGGCTGTAGACAACAGTTCAAGCAGTGTCAAGAGTAAGCGTGGTGGAGTTGTCCGAAGGCCGCCTTACCGAGTTGGAAAGCTTACTCTGCAACTGCTCTACGTACCTAAGCCAAAGGGTGCTACGGATGAGGATATGCCAAAGAGCATGAACGCTTGCATCCGCGAGCTCAAGGCTGCCGAGCAAATCAAGGACATATCATTCGAGGGCATCTTGAGCCAACAAGGTGGTGACTGTCCAGTAAGTTTAGTCTTTGTCTACGAAATTGGACCAACTTAACTTTCTTCTAGTATTGGCGACGGAGGTTTTTCCGCCTTGACGGCACGAAACTCACCGCATACCATGAATCGACACGACAGCCACGCGCCACCATCAACCTCGCGAAAGCTTCAAAGCTACTTGACGATAAGAGTGCCCTCCAGCAACCGTCAGCCACCAAAGCTGGTGGTCGCCGCAAGTCGGGCTTTGCGGAAGACGAGGAAGGCTACATGTTTGTGGAAGAAGGCTTCCGAATCCGATTTGCCAATGGGGAGGTGATTGACTTCTACGCTGACAGCCGCGAGCAAAAGGAGGCTTGGATGAAGGTTCTCACCGAGACTGTAGGCAAGGATCTTGCCACCAACAAAGGCTGGGCTGCCATGGTCTTAGACAAAGAGCGCAAGGAAAAGGCTGCGCGATCACAGCCTGGTGCCCCAGCTCCACCTGCCAAGCCACTGCAGGAAACTGGCAATACCAGACGACCGAGCCACCAACGCACTCAGTCCGATACTGCTTCCTACAACAAGTCAGTTCCTTGTAGTCCTGTCAAGGGCTATGCACGAACACAATCCAACGCGCCAACACCTCCAGCAAAGGACGTGCGCTTCTCACAAGCGCCTCTTCCACGACCTCGGGAGACTGGCAGTTCAGGCCGTAGGGAGCAGGTTCGGTCGATGATTTTTTAGACGTCTTTCTTCCTCTATCTCATACTTACTGCGTATCATTATCGATGCCGACTCACTATCTTCTTGGACAACCACTTACTTGCTTTTTGCTTGTAGCAGATGAGACACTTGTCCTCGCTATCGCACCGTATCAGACTGGGATTTCGCGGTAGAAGAACCCGGGGGTCACGAAAGGGTGCTGTGCATTCTTGAAGTGGACACCGCCCGTTGGATGACAGATGAAGTGTAATAGCACCTGCACGCGACCAAGCATGGTCATCTCTTTTATGTCTGTTGGATACGAGAGGGGGAGAGCGCGGATGGGCGTATGCTTGTCAATGGTCGACCTTTTTCTCTTTCATTGCCTCTTGTTGCACTCTGCACCTTGTTTCTTTTTCTCTTCGATCTCACCGTGTAGGGGAGGTGTTGCGGTGTTTACTTTGGGCGTTGGGGAGTGGGCATTGGACAGACACACGCGTACACACAGACACACAGACACAGACACAGCGTTATGATATCTGCATCTGCTGCAATAATGATTTGATTGTGGGGACGATTGAGATGATGCTGATGGGAAGGAGTAGTAAATGAGATTCTTTTTTTATTTAGCGAAGTGCTTTGGTGACAGTTTGGGTTGAAATTCATGTAGTTTGTAAACTTGGCTCTTGTTAACACTTGTACACTGGATCCTGTGCCCGTTTTTTCGACGTTGTGTTGTTTGTATTCAGCGACAAAGGCAGGGATACTAACAATCCTTTCTAAGAAATAGTCTGGAGGTTTTTCAATAGATTTTGATTTGATTGATGCGCTATATGTATGTATGTAGCTGAGATGCATGTATGCAGGTCAAATCTACCAACATCTACAACTTTGAATTCTCAAAACACCATTACATAGCATGAAAATCCCATATTGCAGAGCACTCTGCCCTTTGTAGTTTTAAGAATCTAACATCTACGGCCAACATGTATGCGTTGTGCAGGTATAGATATATAGCTACCTAATGTCTTGCATCTGACTAGATTTGCTACGCGGCTATGCGGACACGCTGGAAAGGTTGTAGATGGATACTATTGTCCTTTGGGTTGGGATGTGGTGGGAGGTATTAGAGAGGAGGGATAGAATGGATTAAAAGGAAGTTGATGCGGAGTGAATAGTATACTATACGATACTACTATACTATATCATGATATACCACACCGCATCGCAAATCCACCCAACTCTTCCCAAACGACACCACGAGGTTAATACTAGTTGAATATCAGCGTGGAATATAAGCATAGATGTGACTTGTGTATGAGCACTAGTCCAGCGTTGCCAGTAGCCCTACAGCACACCACGCTCGCTCCTCCCGCTTATCCCAGTGTTGGCGTTGCTGGTAGTATTCAAGGGGATATATCTGCTGCCTTGATATACAAGCGTGCTATTGTGCGAGTGTGTGTGTTTGTATGGGATGGAGTGTATCCAAGGTATATAGACACTACATGTGCGTGCACATGCTGCAAGCCCGTGCCCGTGCCTGTTGTGCTTGAGACGCTGCGTTGTTGACGCGTGAGTCTTGTAGTGCGTTATAATGACGCCGAGGTCGAGGGGGAAGCTAGGTGAAGTACAACTTTGTGCGTGTGTTTCTGTCTTCTGAGAGACTTCTTGTCTACCCCCCAAGATGGGTATACACTTGCCGACCACGGACAAAAATAGCATGTTGATCTGGCGGCCGTGGATTCGCCCTTGTCCCGGAAAGTTCGACAATCTACATCGTCTTCCTGAGCCTGCGTCTACGCCGTCCACTATCGACCTCAACGCTCTCACTCAAGCTCGTACGCGCACTACGCGGTGTGGAGAAGCGGTCGCGCAATTGTTGTTTGATGGCTTTCTTGGGCCTCTCGCGCTTCAACTGGCGCTCTTCGTCGGGGTCGACGAAGCGATGGACGACGCGGTGGTCGCGGATCCGCTCTTCCTTGTCGTGCTTGCCTTCCTTTTCCGTCTTGGGCCAGGCAAAGCCGTAGAGTTTCGAGTGTCGCTCGCAGCGGGGGCAGTCTTTGCGCGTGTTGTAACCGTCTTGTTGGACGAACCAGTTTTCGCACGTGTAGCACTCATTCCACTTGGAGTACTTGGCTGACAGCAGCGACGAGGATGTCATGTAATCTCCCGGTTTCCGCTTGTTTTCCACGTACTCAAAATCGTCCGTGTCGTCCATGGTAACCGGTGTGCCAAAGTTCTGGATTTCAAAACGAGACTTCGAGCGTGTGGTGCGACGTATGGGTCGGGGCTTGCGCTTGACAATCTGTTCGTTCTCACTGTCAAATTCGAAACTCTCAGATAGTTCGCTGAGATCTGACATGTAGTCTTCTGCGGGAGGGGAGGGCCACGGGGCGTTTACCGTAGTCGTTGTGACCTCCTCTTTCACCATGGCCACTCCAAGAGCCGGGCGGTCGTGTATAATCTCTGGTTCCACTTTGATCTTTGGGCCGGTTGAGTCTGTCAGGAGATCCTCATCAATTGAAGTAGCATCGGTTGAAGTAGCATCTGTCGAATGCGATGATTTGGGCGAATGTGCTGAGGTGGGTGATTGCGGGGTGGTCTCGCGTGATGAGGCAAGATCGTTTCGGATGTCCTGTGAAACTTGTGGGCAGGTTGGCACATTGGTGCTCGGATTCTCGACGCTCGACACGGGAATCTGTTCATGAAGAGCAGACATGCTGTGCGCCTTCTTCAACGTCGCTTCTCGCAGATGTTCCGAGGCACGCTGTTTGCATAGAGAAGACTTCTCTATCCGGACGCGCTTGGAAAATGGCATGCAAGTTTGCGAGAAGTCTTCTTCTGTCGACTCGTCTCGCTTTCTCTTTGGCGGAAAAGGAGTCGGAGGCCCACCATCACTCGCCGGTTCGAGGTCGACTTGCTCAAGATTCTGGCCTTCCTCTATATTTTTGTCCTGCTCTACATTCCCTTCTTGCTCTTCTTCGTCACTTTCTTCCTCCACCCGCTTCATGGGAGCCCAGCCGTTTTGCTGCCGCTCTTCGCACGTGCGACAGAGACACTCCTCGTTGTCATCACCAAAGTAATCGTCGCCGTACGACACTGTAATCTCTTCCCCCTCATCAATGGGCTTTACAGCCACAATCTGCATGCCATCGTATCCCTTGGTAGCCAGTTTCGCATTGGGGTCGCAGTCGTGATTGGCGAAACGCGCAGGCCCCAAAAACAAAGATCGCGTCTTTTTCCTGCTCGAGTAGACGAGACTAAAGTCCTTGCGCTGCAGCTCCAACGTCTTCTCTTGCTCTTCCGTCATGGCGACCTGGACCCCAGTCAAGTATTTAATCTCCTCACGCGCACTGATGTCGCGTCGTGCAGTCACCGAAGCCTCGTGTTCTGTAATAGTGTAGCGGTTCGTCGTCGTGACCTCAAAGGGGCAGTCCGACATGTAGATGTTGACATATCTCCGCAGGTGACGCTTGAACTGCTCTTGATCTCGCTCAGTCTTTAGCCCAGCCACAAATTTGCGCAGGCCAGGCAATTGCAGCAGCTTCACAACTGCCTCAGTCGGATCCTTGTCCCAAATGACGTGCTTGCGGAGGATATTGGCAATGTCCTCTTCGTGCAGGCCACGCAGTGAAGTAAAGCGCCCACCGCGGTTCTTGCGAATAATCGTCCAATAATAGACCTACGCGTGCGCGCAAGGGTGAGCTGGGAGGCGTCGCGCGGGTTCTATGACAGCTTGCTTACCTTGTCCACCAGTGCGTCTGTAATCACGTCGTCGTATTGGGCCAGTGTCTCAAGCGTGAGCTTGGTCTTGCCCGTCGACTTGCCTCTTTGCGAGGGCGCCATGCGTGCGATTTGGGTGGGGAAAAGATGTGGGCTTCCTCGTACGCGCGATTGATTCGTGTCGTGGTATGGGGGAGAAGGGTGGTGTCAAAGGGGCTGGGGCTGACGGTGAGGCAACGATGAAGGAGGAGCGACCGTGCAGGTAATTGGTATCACCGGTGAATGCAGGTACAATACCGGTACCGGTACCGGCGGATAACCCAATAGGAAAGCCGGCGAGGAGCAAACGACAACAAAGCAATTGCGAGGCCAGAGCAACACCTGCAGCAAGCAGCCAGACACGACGGCGCGACGCTCAAATGGCGCAGAGGCCAGAATGGTCAAGGCTGGGGCTGGGCGTTGAATGCGAAAGCGGAAGCGGCCAGCCCTGTCCGGCCGACTGACGCGGGTGAAGGGGGGAAGGTCAACTTGGTGAGGGTGATCCAACTTGCGCGCTAACAGTAAGTCGTGCCTGGGGGAAAAGGAGAAGGGCCGAATCCCCGACGTCGTGCTGCAAACTTGCACTGGGGGCTTTGTGGTATGCCAGCATAGCACCGTCACAAGCAACCAGCGCCTGCGGAGGACGGGAGTCGTCTTCTTACGATAATCCCAAATAGACGGGGCAGTCGCCATGATTCAGCTCAAGGTACGCATCCTCGTTGGTTCTGTGGTGGTGGTGGTGGTGGTGGTGGTGGTTGAGAGCCAGCGGCTCATGCAGTGCACTTCTAGTCCCTCGTCAATTGCATCGACAACTCTGGCGCCGCCATTGTCGAGTGCGTCAATGTTTTGCGATCCAAACGGCCTGCAAAAGTGGGTAGGTAGATCCTAAACAAGATCCATCTGGGGAAGTGGGAGGCGGAGGCTGACATGTCCAGGTGATCGCATCGTAGTCGTCGTCAAGAAGCAACGAAATTTCGGCCCAGAGACTGGCAACAGCGTCTCCATCAGCGCAGCGAACAAGGTGCGGCGAGGAGATGTGCGACATGCCGTCGTAGTGCGCACGGCGAAGAAGTGGCAGCGACCAGATGGAAGCGTGGTCAAGTTTGATGACAACGCCTGCGTCCTCATCAACAAGGCCGGCGAGCCCATCGGCTCAAGAGTTAGTGGCGTGGTGGCAGCAGAGCTGAGGCAAAAGCAATGGTCAAAGATCTTGTCACTGGCGCCCATGCACGTATAAGAGGATAAGAGGGATAGGATGCATTTTCAGGAGTCTATGGAGTGCAGGAAGAATGTAAAATATGTATGCCAGTGGAAAATCTGCCATGGATATTGAAAGAAATGCCCCATAACTCCTCGCAATTGATGACGTGATAAACTCATATGCGCCAGGCCATGCATGTGCTTTTATATCTACGCGCCACCCTCGCCCTGAACGTCGTGGTTGTCCGAGGGGCGCGAGACGGCGCCACAGCCGCAGCAGACATAGTAGAGTGCCTTGGGACAAGTCAGCAAAGCCATGGAGAGATCAGAATAACCTTACCATGCCCGTGTCGGCCGTCCGCTGTTGGCTCTGGAAGAAGACAGCCTCGTTCTCGCCGCACTCTGTGCACTGCTTCTGGATGCGAGGTAACTAGACACAGAGACAGTCAGCAAGCAGGCTTAAACAGCTAGCAAGCAACAGTACAGTGTGTAGGTGTAGCGGTGTCATGACGAGTCTTGGTCCTGCATGTCGTCGTCAAAGCCCTCTTCCTCCATATACCGCTCTGGCTGAGGCTCGGCGGTTGGCTCTTCATCTATGACCTCGAGAGCATAGCCAGGCGCCGACTCTTCGCCGCACTCGACGCACATGATGGGCATACCACACATGGTGCAACAGGGCATCTCTTCATCAAGGGCGGCTTGCGAATCATATTCGGGGCAACGAACCGTGGGATCTTGTGCCACTTCTGCCGTGACACCAGCTGTAGCTCCGACTGTAGATGCGATTTCATGGCGCATCACGCATGATGAGGGCGCCTCTTCGGTGAAGGAACAGGTTCTGCAGGCAAACAACAGCTTGTTCTCGCTTCGGTCTTCGCGGGGGAATAGTAGGTTGGAGCTGGGCAAAGTCAATATTCTCTCTTGCTGGTTGCCAGATTTTTATATATTTTTCACGGAAGCTACCCACCATTCTGAGCAGAAGCGGAAGAGAATAGGTTCCTTTCCGCCCTTTGCGCCGCTTGCTCTCATTTGTGCGGGCGACGACATGGTGATGAGGATGCAGGTGATGTCGCAGTGTTAGGCACAGTATTGTTTCTCTTTGTGTGCAGGCGAGTCGTGTCGTCTCGGTTGAGGCGTCGGGATATGGCTGGCTGATCGTCTATGGGACAAGGGCGCATGAGAAGGTTGGGGGACAAAGATGGAGAAGAACAAAGGCGGTGCCGTCTTCGAACCAAGGGGACGCGGACTACCGTTGTGCCGCAATTGGTTGGCGCCCGAGACATGCAACTTACTAAGTAGGACCTGGGGACTTGCGTAGCTTTGTTTAGAAAGCAGCTTACTAGCAAGCAGGTTCCCCCCCCCCCCCCGCATCAAGCTTGCGCCGATCGTCTCCATCAGCCGCCTGCAAGTCTCAACGTTGCTGCAACAACACTCCATTCCTCGTGAATTGAAATCTCTTCTTTGCTGTCCAGTGCCCGCCGCCTTCGTTGTTGATCGATACTACGCAACTGCGCAACCTTTTTTGAATCCACACTAGAGCTAAAATGGTGAGTTTCCAACATGGACTTGTGATTTCCCCGCTCCCTCCCTCCCTGCCTCTCCCCCCCCCCTGGTATACGAGACCAACAAATGCGCAGTCTTCAGAGGAAACTGGACTCCCCAAGGGATGGGAGGTGCGCCGCTCCAACACCAAGAACCTCCCATACTACTTCCAGGCCTCGACCAAGGACTCGCGATGGGAACCTCCTGCAGGCACCGACCCGGAGAAGCTCAAGCAGTACATGGCCATCCACCATAGCTCCAAGGGTGTTGCGCCTGCCGCCTTTCAACCCACCAAAGACAAGATTCGATGCGCGCATCTGCTCGTCAAGCATGCCGACAGCAGACGCCCTGCTAGTTGGCGCGAGCCCAAGATCACGCGCACCAAGGCCGAGGCGATAGAGTTGATTGAAGGATATCAGAGACAGATCCAAGCATACGAGCAAGGCACAGATGACCCCAATGCCAAATCGCTCTCCGAATTGGCCACAACCGAGTCGGATTGTAGTAGCGCTCGAAAGGGCGGTGACCTGTGAGTTTCAGCCACTACCCCCCATTCCCATGTAGGCAAGGCCAGCTGACGTATTGGGTAGGGGTTTCTTTGGCCGGGGCGATATGCAACGGGAGTTTGAAGAGGCAGCTTTCAGGCTGGAAAAGGGGCAAGTCAGTGAGATAGTGGACACGGCTTCAGGAATCCACTTGATTCAAAGGTTGGTACTGCGGACGACGTGGTGCGCCGCTCAAGCTAACTGGGCCCCCACAGGCTCGAATAAGCAGGGTACCCAGTATTTGATAGGGTACACTAGTGACGTGTGCAACCCAAAACAAAAGGTGACGAGTTGGATGCGACCAGTGTCGGAGATCTACGTTGACCTGCCCTTTTTTTGAGGAGGAGGAGGAACTCTTTGTCGCATACCGTGGCGTAAGCAAAGAGGTTGAGCAAGATGCAGTCATTTCCATTTCCACAGCGGATGGACGGTTGCAGGGTTGGTGGTTGGGTGGATGAGAATGACATGATTACGTGTTGACTACCACTCGTTCGTCTATCCTCTGCTTCATGACCCATGTGTTGCACTTGTTGGGACTTGGGCTTTGAGCTGTATGGTGAAGCAAGCGACCTGTCAGGATGTAGCCAACTACTGGTAATTGCAAGTGATGAATGCCTAATGGATTCGACCCTGACTCCAACGTCACATTTGCGTACATGGTAAGTTTGGTCAGCCCAACCATATACCCATCTACTCTACCGATAGGAGTACTAGCTAGCCCTTGGGTTGCGGTCCCGTGCTTGGTCCTACGACGAAGGACGACGACGACGACGACGTCTTACTGATCGACAGTCAGACAATATAGAGTACTATGATAATCAATAGCCACACCCACACACAACCACACGAGCACATGTCCATCAGGTCGCAGCAAGTTTGGGAGTAGGGGGTTCAACAAAACTGTGGCTGGAGCTGGTTGGAGCGTGTTGTTGGCTGTTGGCTGTTGGTAGTTGGCTGCATTCAGCATCTACCGTAACCTGCCTTGTTGGAACTTGGAAACTTGGCGCTTTTGCCTTTGCCCTCCCCCCCCCTCCCAAACCCAACGAAGGAACCCAACCGGGCTACTACTCTAGGTAGGGTAAGTTCTGAGCATGAGCTGGTCGTCTAACAGTAATATGACGGAGGCACGGTCGTAGTGGGCTGTGAATTCGACGCTGTGACGTGTGGGGGGAGCTGGAAGAAGTGGCCTCTCCCACAGTAGAGTACCATGGGTCATCATGTTACAGACTGGAAAACACTAGAAACAGGGCATGCATGATTCTAGCCCAAAACACATCCACCCAAACGGGCATGGTCCAGCGGCCGGCTCTTCCGGCGCACGGCGGCCCTGTACGCTTCGGGATCTTGTTGCGTCAACGCGATCAAGACAGACATACTGTACTTACAGCACGATACTAGAGTACAGTACTACTGGGTATACAACAATCATCCATGTACTTACGGTCAACTACTTCGACCACACACAGCCACACAGACACAAAAACGCACAAACACACAGTGCAAACGAGACTGGCAGACTTGGGCAGCAAATCTCGCCCCGACCAGTTGGTGCAACACACACACACACACACACACACACACACAGTACTCTAACTCGTTCCATTGTCCGCGCACGTAAGAAGTCAAGAATTATGGTTGTTCACGGACTAGAGGCCATAAGCAGTGAGCCCTAACCTGAAGCCAATCACAGCCAATCACAGCCCTTCACCTCACACGGCAGTCGCTGCCTCTGATAGCAGCTGCCCGCGGCGACCAAGTCGTTCTTGCCTGACGACGACTGCGCTACGTCAGAACATTTTGTAGAAAGGAAGGAGCCATCCGGTCCGCGCCTCAACTCCTTCCGCAAAAGCCTCAGTGCGCGCCTGCCGCCTCCACACCTAACACCGGCCGTTGCTGCTGTTTACAATACATACCAGCAGCCACTCTTAGCCATCTACGGTATTCTAGTAGGCCCGTCCACCCCGTCCACCCTCCCGATCACCAGCTATCACCGCGATCCCTTCACTTCCCCCTCCCCGCCCCACGTCCTCGACCTCACCCACTCTCGTCGCTCTCTAAATAAAGCTCAACCCTCCTTTGGAACAGTCTCGAACAACACACACACACACACACACACACACACACACACACACACACACACAGACACACTCCCCCTCTTTACCAAACAAAAAAGAAACCCCTTCTATCCTCCCCCTTCCTTTTCCAAGTCGCTCTCGCACTCCTTTGAGCATAACCACCACCCTTTGACACTTTTTCTTCTTCTTCTTCTTCTTCTTCTCCTCCTCCTCCTCCTCCTTCCACTACAATCATCGACAAAGAACAATATCAAAACGCCCCACAACCATGGCCACCTCACCCTCTGCCACCCCCATCTATCACGACCCAAGGCCCACAAGAAACCGTCGAAGCTCCAGCCGTAAAAGCCTGGCTTCTCTTTCCAGGTCCGCCTCCCACATCGACACTCCTCGCACCGCCTGCCCCAAGGATAGTGATGCCTTTAGCTACAATCCCGTCCATCTTCGTGCCTGGTTAATACCTCAAGACCTCTGGGACCGCCTTCCGGCACCGGTCCAGTCGAGTCTTGCCGCTGTCCAGCACTCTGGCGCAGCTGTGCTGACTAGTAAGTAATTCATTTCCCTTGTGCGACCTGGAGATCTACAATGGGCTAGTGCTTGCGCGATATTCACGTCTCAAATCTCACCTCCCTGGCTCAGACCAACCGCTAATCGCTCTAGGCTTTGAGCGTCTGGACAAGCAGGCAGAGAGTGCCAGCAGCAGTAGCCATGAGTCCAAGGTGCCCATGGACGAGTTACTCATGAAGCTCGAGGATCTCCCTCTCCCAAAGTTCCGTACCGTCAGCAACGCAAGCAGCGTGGTTCAGTCTGACATATCTTCTCCCATCACGGAAGGATCTTCTGGCTCGCAGTCGCAGTCGGAATGCGCCTCTCCCATGACGTCCTTCTCTTCCACCCAAGCTGTGCCCGTCTCGCCCATCTCCCTAGGCCCTCCTGAACTCTTCAGCCATTCCAGTCGATCCCGTGACCGTTCCTTTTCCACACCACTCGAGCCTCATGATGCCTATTTCGCCACCGAGCTCTCTCACCTCCACACCGAAGCTCTCCCACGACTTCGCCACAAGTGCCACAAGGTCGACACGGAGTGGCACGAGGCCAAGCGCGCCGGCAACTTCACTACTGACGTTATGAACGACTTTGAGAATTGCTGGGCTGAGAAGAAGTGCCTTGTTCTCAGCCTCAATGAGAAGTGCAAGCGTCTAGCCAATGCTCATTGTGTCTCGTCGACGGGCATGGGCTGGGCCGCTTCGTAGTGGTTATTGACGTGGGTTTCCTCTTCTGGTTTCTCCTCGCGCCTTGGCCGGCTTAATCCACCTTGGACATGGACGCTGCCCATGTCGGCACCATGTTGAGTCGGCGTGTCTATCAACCATCATCAGCATTTCTTTTGTTTTCCTGCAACTTCTTCCGCCACCACCCCCATTTTTCCCTTGTTTCCTTAGCGAGGAGTTTGGCTGCATATACTGGAATGGAATCATCATCTACTTGGGAAGACTGAGCTCACACCTCCACCAAACATGAAACGGTTCTAGGCGTCCATGGTTAGAATGAACCTGCACGTCGTTTGTTTTTCCTTTTCATCTCTTCACCCCCTTTGGTGCTTTGGCACCTCGACCCAAAAGGAGAATGGGCGCTTTACACTTGGGACTGATGCGACATGATAGGATACGATGCGAAGACCCAAAACTCTTAGGAGAACGTCTTGGGGTTTTGGTCTTTTGTCTTCTCTTCTTCCCTTTTCTTTGTTCAAGTCTACTTTGGTAGAGGAGAAATTAGCGAATGAGAAAAAACTTGCAAAACGTGAAAGAAGAGTGCACATATGTCATATTTATGCCTGGTGCATTTGTACTGGTTTTTTTATCTCGTTGTTGGACTGATTCTTTAGAGGGGGAGGTTTTTTGTCTGTGTCTACTCCAGTTCCTCCCTTCATTCTACCCCTTTCTTAAGCTTTTCCATGCGGCACTGGGTGCGATGGGATGTAGTGTGCGAGGTAGATGGTGCTGAAAGCATTGTCAAATAAAAGAAGATACGATAGCAGCAGAGTACTCGGGGGGCATAGAATGGCCACATTACGAGGTAAATTGAACCAACAAGTACGAGGCATGGTAGCAATTTAAAGGGGTATGTATATCCGCTGGCCAACAGAACCTCCTTTATCTTGGCCATGGTGCCATGTCTCACACTCACCAGTTTCGTTCTCTCCACGTCTAAAAATTCACACAGACACCATCTACACGATCCCAGGCGCTTACATCTATACACCAGTAACCAAAACTCAAGAAACACTACTTGGATTCGATGTCGGACAAAAAATATCCCTGCAAAGCTGACAGCCTTCGAACTTGCCTTGCACTCGCTGCTGTGCAACCCATGTGACGCCTGCACAGTAGCAAACAAAATCACAAACCATGTTCTTCCACCTTGGACCTTTTTCGTCCCATCACTCTCCGAGGCTTTTTTGCTCTCGCTCAGCGTTGGACTCGTTGTTGACAATACGATCTCGAGGTTTCCAAAGTCGTGCTTTTGGTTTCTGCACCTTGTTTGTTTCGAATCTTGGACTTGGGAAGTTGGACTGCAAGTACCTACGTGTCATGGCGTAGTGTAACTGTGATACTCTGACATTCACTTACCTTTTCTCGCCCATACTTTGCACACCCAACAGCCAGGACCAACTCTACAACGCCAACCTCACCACCAATCACTCCAGTCCTACTATGGGAACATCTCACTCCACACCTAACCCCCTCATCAGTGTCTCCGTCCCCAACGGCGAAGTCCTCGTCCCCTCCGGCTCCCCCCTAACCCTATACCCCCCAAGCCACCTGCACCGCAACCCCCATCCCCTCCTCGACCCCAGTACCGCTCGTTTCAGAAAAGTCTATAGGCCGCCGCACTCGCGCACGACGCCGCACATACCCATCTACACGCCGTGTTCGCCGCACCAGCGGCAGGCGCGCTACGCGGGGTGTCAGCGGCGGGAGGAGTTTGAGGGCGCGGACGTCAGCGAGAGGACGGAGAGCGAGGGGGAGGGTATGATGAGTGGAGGGGATCCGCGGATGGGGATGAGGGGTATGGCTGGCTTGAGAGCCGGACTGGGTGCTGGAAGAGCTGGGTATTTTGACGATGAGAGACCTAGGAGTGCGCCGGAGGTGGGCATGGGTGGACGGACGGGTATGGGGATGGGTATGGGGGTTGGGGGTCAGGATCCTAGGATGGGTGGTATGGGTGGTATGGGCGGTATGGGTGGTATGCCATCAGGATTTGACGGAGGAGGTGGTTCAATGGGTATGGGCATGGGCATGGGTCCCGGTGGCATGCCAGGCGGCATGCCTGATCCACGAACCATGCAACAGCCCCCAGAATACACCTCCAATCCCCAATTCCCTCACTTCAACACCTCTGGCGGCCTCAATGCACCGCTCAATCGGCCCCCACCAGACCAGATGAACACCTACACATCTTCTCCCTTCCACAACCCCACTTCCTTTCACTCTTCCACTTCCTCTACGCGCACCACCCACAGACCGACTCCCCATCGACCATCAAAACCACGTTCCAAAGACTACACTTCCGTCCCCATGGGCGCCTACACAACATCCCAGTATAAACCCCACAAGCCCAGCCACAGAACCACGTCGCCCAATTTCGCCGCGCTGGTCAACCGCGCGGGCGCCGAACGTACCAGAGTCGTAGCCTCGGGCAAAGAGTGGACTGATGGGAATGCCTTCTTAGACGCATGTACATGCACGACGAATTGCAAGTGCAGAAAGAGTCACCGTGTGATTTACCGTCGGGAGCGGCAGCCCAGAGACGGGAATGATGACGATGGCGAGCATAGCGATGCCAGGCAAGAGGTGGGTGAGATTCGGTATATTCTCCGCGACGATTTGGGTAAGGATTGTGGTGATCATTCGGGGTGTAAGAAGGGTGGGGGTGGGAGTGGGAGTGGGAGTGAGAGTGATGGGAGTGGTAGTGGCGGTGGGAAAGGGAGTAGGCGTAAGAGGAAGAGCGAGAAGAAGAAGAAAGAGGAGGAGAAGAAGAAGGAAAAGGAAGAAAAAGACCGTTTTAAGAATTTGAAGGAGGAGATACTCGAGGCGCTGGACGATCGATTCCAAGGCATCAGAGAAGATGGCTTGCACCAGCAGCAACAACAGCAACAACAACAGCAACTCCACCAACAAGCAAGAAACACCGCAGGAATACCACAGTTCCCATTCAGACTCCCACCTTTTGCCCAAGAAGAAACACCCCAGGACCCACGCATAATCCAGCACCAAATCGCCATGATGCGCGCCGCAAATCCCCAACCCATTCACACTACACCCGGCATAATGATGCCCCCAAACATGCCCAACCCCACACACAACTACCATCCCTGGAACCCAGACCTCTACCACATGGACACCCAAACCCCCTTCCCAGACCACAACAACCCTTCCCAACCAGACATGCACACGCGCCACCAAACCTTCACCACAGCACGCAGTCCCCCGGCCCGCCCAGCACGCACACCCTTTCCCGCACACCCACACCACCCCAAAGCCAACCACACCGTCCGATTCCCGCATAAAACTAGACGGACACGGCACGCCGCAGAAACGCCCGGCCGTGCTGCAGCGCCACGACGAGCGCCGCACGTTGAATTTAGCTCCTACGACGAGGACGAGGACGAGGACGAGGAGGCCACGGGTCCTGCACAGCGTCTGGGTCGTGACCGGGAAGTTAGGGGCCGGGTAGTTAGGGGCCAGGTAGTTAGGGGCCGGCGGTATAATGACAGTTTAGATGGGTTTGAAGGTTAGTTTGATGTGGTTTCTTTGGTCTCAATTGTGTTCGTGTTTTCGTGTTCGCTGTCCTCATGCCACGCCGTTTGAGAATGGCGTTGCACGGGCAGAAGCGCAGGGATAAGAGAAGTGATGGCTTGGCTGATGGTGTGTGTTATAGGTATTCGAAGTCATGGTGTGGATGATTGGGTGGCTGTGGCGCCGCGTGCACGCGTGTCTTTGGGTCTGGGGCGTGGTGAGAGATGTGTAGAGAGGGGGGGTGGGGGTGAGAGTGTGGGTAGGATGCAGGCGCGGGCTGAGACGGATGATGATGGGGATGAGGAGTGAGGAGTGAGGGATATGGGTTTGTGTTTTGGAGATATTGTTTTGGGGGTCGTTGGAGGGGGGGAGAAGAAGTAGATGAATGAGACTATCATGATATTTCCTACGAATAACGTAGCCCCTAGGAAATAAGGCAACCCACGGTTCTCACAAGAGAAATTCACAGATTTCACGACTGTCACGGCTGAGAAGCTATCCTATAGACACTCTCTTATCCTCTGCATACTATTAGCTCCATCGCTAACCATGTTGCCAATTGGGAACCTAAATACAGGATGTAAGTTGAACATCACAGAGACTTTGTCGTCTTCTGCTCACTCTTAAACGCCTAGCTGACCATATTTGAACGAATCATAGTTTGTAAGTAGCTGTCCACGAACATTTTGCAGTATTCTGTTGTAAGCTGCCTGGCTAATCTCGCTTGACCTTTAATTATAGAGAGCGAGTATTTCTATCCCCTGAAGCCACTTAATCTACTAGTACAGTTATTTGCAGCCTGTAAGCAATACCCTAAGTGACTCTGTTACTTTCCTTGCCGAGAGGTGTACTTCTGATCACAGCTCAATTACCATTGCAGGATGTAAGTGCGTATCACAATTTCAGTCGTTGTAACTAGCTGCTTTCTGCATATGAAACAAACTAACTTTATGGGCACAGCAGGTGAGTAAACATTCCTAATCAGCCGTATTGACCTGCTACTAACCAAGCCTGGGTCGGGGTTTCAGTGCTCCGTAAGCACCTCACCACGGAATTTTCTCGTACCTCTAGTGTTGCTGACGCACCATGTAGGGTTACAAGAAACCTACTCAAGTGGCTTGCGGCCAATCTGCATGCTATGTGTCGTTGTATGGAGTTCTCCTAAGACAAGAGTTCAAGCTTGGCCGACTGTAGCAGCGTAGCATGTGTTGAGTTTGCATCAGGCGATGCCTCCCATAATTAGTTTGGATGTGATAAGTTGCTCCGAACGCCATCTTTGGAAGACATCATGTTATCAATGGGGTTTAAATACCTAGTAGATCACTGTCAAGCTCAGCAAAAATTCTTCCAAAGTTACATACGACTTGGTAAATACAGTCTGGTACCCCTCATGCGCACTTTGTGCCATTGTGTCCATTGTGTCCTAACACTAGGGAGATTGAATGTATTGTAAATTAATCCTTAATGAAAACGAGTATCTGTTGCTTGTATTAGGCTACAACCTTGATTATTATCATTTTAGATCCCGTTCTCTCAGATAGAGTATGATAATGTTATAAGACTTATGCATAATACGTTGTATACATGCCTGTTTTTTCAGTACCGTATAGAAGGCAGACTTGTCACTTGTCAGCTAGTCGTCGCTCGGATTGAGTTCGCTTGCAAATTGAGCTTTTTACTGAGCTAAGCAATATAAGCCAGAGATTAGAGGAGAACCTAGATTGCTCGGATTGATTGCAAACTGGTTTTGCTTAAGTGTGGCGAGAGTAGGCTGTAAATGTTGTAGCTACAACTAAGTCACTTGATGAGAAAGCCTATTATGCACGCCTCTTGGACAAGCATGTTACTACTCTAGAAATCTACCATCAATATGCTATGGTAAAAAGCTATAAAATTCACACAGTGTGAGGCGGGTTAAAAACCCGCCTCAATCTCAACATAAGTTTTATATAGTACCTCTGAAAGTGGCACCCGGGCCGAATAATTCTAGCCGACACTTGAAAACATGATACCCAAACTCATCTCGAGTAGAGCCTCTAGGTTATTCGATTTGCTCGGTAATAATTCTAATGGAATGCTACTGGCAATGTGCCGTTGCACATGGTGATGGTGTAGAACTGTGGTGTTAGGTCGTAGCTCTAAAGGTGAATACATGATATCTTTGTCAACCAAGTAGGTAATTATACCTGTCCCTTGCTAGCCTAGATTCGTCTACCCATCTATCACGACAATCATGAGAAATAATGAAACTTTATCTTCTCCCAACTGCTGTGTATCCTTCCATTCACCTTTCCATCCCATGAGTATGATAGTCTTAGTCAAACCTGGCTTCAGCCTTCACCAAGTTGAAACATTACATCTCCCAGAAAGTGCATCAATAGACAACAAAATCTTCCTGCAAGGAGTTCTCCGAAGGTACAAGAATAAGTAGGTGCTATACATTTCCATTATGCTTTGCTCTGATGAAGATGGTTGAGCGTTTCTATGTGCCTACTGGTAGGCCTGTAATAGACTACAAGACATAACCTAGGACCATATTCGGCAAGAAGTTTCCGCCTCATAGTGCTGCTTTATGCACAGGACATATTTTCGAGACTCCTAGGCACAGTACGCCCTTGCTGGCTGCTCGCGCAGATGAGCTCACGATTTGGTGTAGGAAAATTCTGAGCGGGGATAAGCTGGACGTGAATGACCGAAGAATTGTATGTTAGAAACCGCCTAGTGTCTACCACAGTGCAAAATCTGAAAAAATCCGCTCTACACGCATGTACACTTCAAAGTAAAAGCGCGAGGAAAAACGTCTCTGCGCACGTATCCGGGTGACCCGGATATATCTACACACATGCTACATCTGGTATTAATGCTACAGAGGGGATCGACATAGTCGACCATGGCATTGATGGTATTTTCCGTCAAAGACAGCAAATTCCGGGGAAGTTTTCCGAAGCAGAGATACCACTATGATGTGGTCATTTTCAGAACTCTTTGGAGAAAAAAAAATCGATTAAGCTTGAACGAATCTCTCCGAGCGGGGTAAAATTCCTGCCAAAAAGGAATTCTCCGGACGACGTCCCATCCTGTGAGTCTCTAGCTATAACTTCTAACCAAGGCTACTTTCATAAGCTTTTCGGATCTGGTATCGACGCATAAGTGTCTGTTCTGGGATCCGAAGGCGAATTCAAGGGCATCGAGAGCTAAGCGGAACCTGCCATACCAGATGTCTACAGTCTAGCTATGATATGGTCAAATTGATGTAATGGAGTTTCTCGAATTTGCAAGACCACGTGATTAAAATATTGAGCAAGCAATAAGTCCCACACTGGTAACCACATGGGAAAGACAGATAGATTTGGTTGTTGAACACAAGGCGGCTGTGGCGTCGCCTCCGGCTGTTCCGATACTAATAGCCAACTTAGCACCATGACATAATACACCCGTCGTTCATTGTGCAATTAAAAGGCTCCTCCGTGCTCCTCGCGACTAGTTAACGCAATTGGCGCAAAGTAGCGAATGGCAACTGTTCCAGAATGAGGAGCTCAAGCCCCTCAAACCTTCTGCGAGAATCGAAACCTTCAATCAGCCGAACACCAGTTCATGAAGTTCTGAAAGTAGCCAGAGCTCTCTTTAGGGCATGTAGGATGTTCCCGCCATAACCCGGATGTCAAAGGGTACAAGGCCTCATCACCTCAGCATAAGCGCAATTAAGGTTTGGTAGGCAAGAAAGAACTTTCCCTTGTGATCACCAAGTCCATCGATCTAATGTGAATTCTTGGAAAGATCAAGCCCTGCCATGCGTACCTTTGATAGCAAGCAGTACCTCCTTCTATGATTGAGTTGTTTAATATCAACAGCTTTCCTGTTCTAATCACAGAATTTCAGGGTAATCAGATCTGTCAGCTTCAAATTGAGATATTTCCCTGCGCTAGTGAAAGTAGTGACACTAACTGCCATCGGCCCTGTTCAAGTCAGAAGATGTGGATCCTCGAATGTAATTTGGCATACGCTAAGCACACACAGGTGTGGCTCATATCATCGTATCCAGCGAATCACTAAAGAAGTAATTCCATTGATTTTACTAAGAAAGAGACGTACAGTGACAACCAATTTACAAAGTTCTTGATCCATATTTGTGTGAAATTGTCCGACTGCGGTTACCTTACGATAGAAATGGTTAACGCGCAATCACTCGCCAACATGAGCACTACGGTACAAAACCGGTTTACAGTAGCCATATTTATCTAAAGTAGACTAAGAAGTGGTTTAGGTAGAAGAAGTAAACCTAAATAGGGTTTATTATACTATGTATTCCACAAAAGTAAACTACTTTTATTTCTACTTCTATTAATCTACTAGTATTACGTAGTACTGTAATAACTAGTTTCTTACTAACTATCTAAGTATTTTACCCCTCCTTTCTTTAATCTTCTTCACCACCTCTACCACCTCTACCACCACCTCTACTACCTCTACCACCAT